GGTTGTGTGCTGAAAGGAGAAAGAGAGAAAGAGAAAAAAAAAAAAAAAAAAAGCGGGGGGTGGGGGGGAAGGCAGTACGAGTCAGGAGCATTTTTTGCTAGAAGGGAACAGAAGTTATAGAATTTCCCCCTGATTTTTCTCTGGTTCTGTTGGTTGCCCTTGTCTGAAACTGCTCTCACTGAGGTGTGTGAAGTACGAACTTTTTCCAGGACCTGTGCGAAGCACTGCAGTTGCGCACCAGGGATAACGTGCTCTCCGCATGCTGGCTGCCACCCCACCCCCTGCTTGCTTGGTAAGCCTCTGGCCTCGTTTCCCTTAGCTCTGCTTTTGTTCTTTCCTCTGGATAACAACACTCCTTCTCTGGGGCTTTTGCTGTCTTTGGACCGCTGCAGAAGCACCTGCGTGGGCAGCTCTGCTGCCTGGAGTAAGAGGAGGAGGCTGCTTTGCCCACCTGGGAAGTTGTGGGGGCAGGAGGGCTGGGGAAAGGCACCCGCATATGGGAACCAGGAGGGAATAATCCGAGAGCAGCACGAGTTCTCCAGGATCCTGGTAGGACTCAGAGTTTGGGATGGAGACCACAGCTGTGTTTCTCTCTATGGCTAGGTGTGGCAAATCCTAATGTTTCCAGCATTACATGCTGCTTCCTGTTTTGGAGGAGACGAGAGTTACTTTTGTCTGCAGTAAGAAAGTAGACTGGAAAATAAGGCACATATGGGGTCATTTTAAAGGCCTGTGTGATGCAGAGTCTGGCCTCAAGGCTGCTACCGACACAGCCAAATGGAGGCCAAGCCCCATGACGTGCTGTTAGCATCGCCGCCCCATCAGTCAGACCAAACAGGCTGCCATATGGCAGGAGAGACTGCTTCGAGAAGGCAGCTTTTCCTCACTGCTTCTGTGCTGGTGTACCCCCAGGGAACTGGAACAGGGCAGCTCCCCAAGGTGACACTCCCCTCTCCAGGGCTGTAAGCAGTTGTATCTGGCAGGYTCCCTCCATGTGTGTTTGGCCTCTTGTCCCCAAGATGTCTGGCTGCCATCTTYGGTTTGCTTCAACAACCTAGAAACTGGGAGGAAAACATCTAGCAAACAGATGTGGTGCAAAGCTCTGATGTGCTGCRGCTTCTGATCGTACTCCTTGCTGGCAGGGGCCGAGCTTGGTGGTGCAGAGAGCGGGGACAGAGGAGACCCCTAGGTTGGCAGGTGGTGGGGTAGGCATGTAGGTGTTGGGAGAGCAGAACCAAAAGCCGCAGGGGTGAGAACTGCAGGTGGTGTGGCTAGCTGCTGGGCTGGGCTGAGCTGCTGCGTGTTGGAGGAAGATGAGGATGGAGATGGAGCTGACTGGAGAGTCCAGCTGGGCAGGAGGAAGGACATTATGTAGKTAAAGGATGACTGTGGGCATAAACCGTACTCCCTGCTCCTCCAGCACATCCCAAATCCTGGAGCCACGTAACCTGACAGGAACACAGAAGTGATCTGCAGAACGGCTGCCCAAATGGCATTGGTTGGCAGCAACACATGCTCTTGCATCTGCATGTGTGTCTGAGACGGTGCATGATGGCTGCAAGGAATGGGCATGGCTGTGTGCATAGGGAAAGGGGGTCCACTGCCACAGTGCTGCATCRGTTCCTAGCCCCATGTCACAGGGAGCCTTGATCCTACCTTTCTCTAGTAGTCATTCAATAAATAACACTAATGCTCACAACTAAGCTCCTAAAGAGCTGCAGCTTGCATTTCCACTCTTGCACTAGCATAGAGGTGATGCAGTGCTTGTTGCAGCATGATGGACTATTTAAAGGCCAAACGGTTTAATACAGTTTTTCTTGAGGAACTTTTCAGTGCTGGTGCAAAGGGMCTGGACTTGCAGCCTTGTTTCTCCTTGCTGACTCCAGTCTGGATGGCAGCATGTCCTTCTGCTTTGCTGCCTTAAGATGGAATCATGAGGTCTCTACGGTTGGGATAGGTGTCAGGGAGTTTCTACCTTCAAAAGCTCTTATTGCCTTTGGATTGGGAGTGGGGAGACAACACATCTTTGAGTTGTGATGTAATTTGGCACTTGTTTTTCTTTGCATCTCCAACGAGGTCGGGATTTGGACAGAGCTTAGGCAGTCATGTTGTGCTAGCTCTGTGGCAAGGCACATGAATGAGGAATGTGTGCTTGCTTTGCATGCGGACATGTGTGCTCATGCAGTGGTTGTGCACAGACAGCTTAGTCATTAAGTGCACTTGGTCCTGGGCACATTTGGCTGTGCTACAGCAGRCACACTTACAAACACGAGTTTGCCAAGTGTCAGCTTGATACAACTACGTTGTGCTTATGGCAAGAGGTGCATCTCTAGGTGAAGGTGCATATGGCCTAGTGGCAGGTCACTCTCATGCTTACTACTGCATGTGTCTGTGTGCATGTGTGTCCTTTTGCATGGGTTTCTACCTTCCGGCACGCTGTTGTGGTGGGGGAAAAAAAGAACTGCATAAGCACATGCCCAAGTGCCTTGCCTTCAACAAGTGCTTTCAACACTCTGGTTGGCTTTTGAGTTCATCCTCTTTTGAAAGTCACTACATAGAAGGCAGCAGCTATGGCATTTCCTTGCCTCTTGTAACTGCACAGTTGAAAGAACTGGCAAGGTCTCTGCAGGGAGGGCCTGGACGCCTTCCTGTCTGCTATATTGGTAGCGATGGCCTCTTGTCCAGCAAGAGCAGCTTGGGCTGTGCTGAGATCCACAGGTCCTCTTCATCCTTCTTCTTCTTTTTCTTCTTGCTCCTGTCAGCATGGAGCTGCCCATTGCTGCTGGTGCCACCTTTCTTGCTGTTTGCTCCCCTCCGTCTGCAGAAGCAGCAGTGGCAGCAGATAAAAATGAACACAATGAGCACAACAAAGGGCAGGCCCAACAGCACAGCAAGGCAGATGGTGTTGAAGATCCCTTCCTCATGCTTGGTACGGATGAGCTCCAAAATAGAATTAAAGAAAGAGCTGATCTTCTGCTCCATGTTGGCTCCCTGGCAGGCAGCCTGCACTGTTCTGGCACAGTCCTTCTGCTTTGAGGCCTCTCAGGATATGCTCAGCACCTGTAAACAGCTAATGGGCTCCTAAAGTGTCTTTGGATGGTGCCTGCAGAGACAGGAAAATTCACAGATCAGGTGGCTGCACCCTCAATGTTTTTCTCTGTGGATCTGCCAGCAGAGCCTGAGCCTCGGCAGGGTGGCAGATCTGCTGCCTTGGAGGGCCCCTTGTGTCTGCTTTCCTAGTCCCTRCTTTTGCGTGGGCTGAGCTTAGGCCTCAGCAGCCTCAACAGTCTCCAACATGTGGCTATCTGTTATAGTCAGGGAAGCTATCCACACGTATGTGACACCCTCCTGCTATGTAGCAGAAATTTCTAGCTCCTGTCCAGTGAGGAAGATGTACCCTGGGGTAGCAGKGCAGAGGGAGAGAAGCCTCCATTGCCTTGCCTTCCTTGGCAAGGTCTCTGTGGAAATGAGGACCTCTCCCTAGGGCTCATCCCTGGGGGACAAGTGAAGAAGGCTTCAGCTGGGAGAGCCTCCTGGTGAGCATGGATCCTGCACTACTACGGATCCATCTCAGAGCCTTCACATCCCTTCCCAGGGCTTATTTTTTCAGCAGAGGATGTACCCTCTGTTTTTTAGCTGTCCTGGAGGCCCTAAAGGCTCTATCTAGCTCATCCTGAAGACCTCTGCAGGGAAGGGGCTGAGCTGAATGTCCCAGGGTTTCTTTCGTTCCTCTGCAGAGCCTTGGCCTGAGGCTCTTGAGCAGCATGGGCAGGGCAGCTTCGCACCACGTGCTCCTCAGGGGCTCGTGTAGTGAAACACTGGGAGTCCGTGGCTGAGGCCGTGGCTGGGCAGTGGTCAGTGCCTCACACCACACGTGGCCAAGACTTCTGCTCCCCTCACCTGCCGCGTGGGCACAAGGTGCAGGCACGAGCCTGCCCTCCGAGGCAGCTGGGCTGCCACACGCCGCCCCCGTCGCACCCAGGGCYGAACCACAAAGGGAAGAAGCACTGGCTGGGGCCTGGGGGCCACGTCAGCCGTGGAAGGGCCTCACTGACTCACCTGGGAACTTCTCCAAGGATGGGTAGGGCCCAGGAGAATTTCTGCGGCATGACATAAGGTTTTCCCTTGTGCAGGGAGAGGTGCTGYCGTGCAGCAGGTTTCCAAGGAAAGCCCTGGTGCAGGAGCACTCTGAGGGGCCAGGGCTCCCCTGTGCGAGGTTCGAGCCCCAAGGAGGTTTGAGTAGRGCACTGGGCTTCATGCAGCCCTCAGGGCCCGACTCCCCTGGGGAGGGACCAGCTGGGTTTGATTACAGGCTCCTTGTCTTTTAAGCTTCCCTTCCCTGGTGTGAACTGTGATTGCAGGTCCTCTGGCTAAGGGAGACAGCACGGCCTCGGAGCTGGGCCCTGGCCCTAGGAAAGGGGTGCTGCCCGTGGCCCCACGCGCTGCGCATCCCTGTCTCAGCCTGCACAGCTTCACCCTGCCTCTTCCGAGAAAAAAAGTACCCAGCAAAACCCAATTCCGCCTCTTTTAGGAAACAAACCCTAAACATAAGGAGTGTGCTGCTGCCACCGGGCTGTGCACAGAAGCTGCACAGACTCCTTTCATCAGCCACATCGGGCCCCTGCCTTTCCTAACCAAGAGCAAAGTGCTCCGGGTAGCTGCTGGGTGCTCAGTCTGGGGCTTCATCAGTGCTTAGATCGTAGTTAGAAAGAAGAGGTTTATTCCCCGCCTACATTTCMCAAAAAAACAGTCTGGATGCTGCTAACTTAGGTTTCTATCTGCCAGAGCATGYAACTCTGAGCTGGCAACAGTTAACTGACATTTTTTTCTTTCGAAGGCATGTGTGGGAAATGTGCTGAAAATAGATTTATAAGTTTCAATGGGAGACCTTCTGGGAACTAAGTGCTGAGAGCAAAGCACTACGCAACAAGAGTAATTTTAATCCCAGATAAATGAAGACTTCGAGCTGTAATATTTTTATGGCTGATTTTTGCCCCATCTGCAGTGCTTTCCAGCTCCTGTGCASCAGAAGGGGAATTTTAAAAGCTCTGTTTTTTTCTGGAGGGAGACAAGTGGTGTGATGGCCCTGGGGTGGGAGCAGCCAGCAGGTGCAGCGCAGTGGTGGCAGGAGCTCTCTTTCACCCTGCTGCTGCTGCCGCCTGCTGCTTCTCCCCGGGGAGGATGGACAGCTGGGTGACTTYGCAGGTTGGAGCAAGGCAGCAAGGGGTTAAATCTCAGATAATGGGCAAGAGGAGACCACGGTAAAGGGAGGTAAGTCCGTGACCGGCTTTAACTGGAGTTAACAGATGCTTCCTTAGCTCCAACCAGCTGCACAACTATGCGATATACTCCTGGCCGCATACAAAGTATTTCCGTGCCGGCAGCTCCACTCATAGCTCCTATGGAGGGAGTTAATCCTCCATTAATTAATTAATGTGGAGTTAATGTGGAAAGCTCTGCAAAAGCAGCCCGTGTACATCGCYCCTTGATTTCCCTGTGCAGGGATTTCTCAAAGCTTGAGGGTGACAGAATGCAAGCCCCACAAGCCCTGTGCAAACTGCCACCRAAAGGGCCCAGAGTTGCCCCTCGTGGTCTCCTGGGCCCATCTGGGGCCGGACCTACAGCTTCACTGGCAGGCACGTGGGGCTGTCCGGGTGCCTCCAGGGGCTCTAGCAAAGGTTAAAGTGCAAAACAAACAAACAGTGAAGCTGGCGCGGACGAAGCAAGTTTGCCATTTATCCATAAATATCCTGACAGCTCATTATCCAGACAGGAACACTGGGCTCCTATGATATACTTCACTCCAAAAAAAAAAAAAAAAAAGACAACCCAGCCAAACCCCTTAATTTCAGACAAAACAGGATGTATAATTTTATTCCTGTGCTGAGATGCTTTATGTTTATTGCCTCTAACGTTCAGGGGAGGGAAGGAGGGCTGCAGCTTCCTTTCTAACTGCTAATTAATTGTTTGCAGGAGGAAAACACAGGGCCCTTTGAACTGCTTCCATTTTAAAGGCTCTTGCTGCTTGTTTCTGGCCTAGCCCCAGAGGATCTCCTCTGCTTTGCGGTAGCCACCCAGTGAAGGGTGCAGAGGAAAGCCCTGACCCACTAGTGGCTCCCTGAGCCCAGGCAGCTGTCTTGGAGCACCCATCAGCCCTGAGATGCTGGGCCAAGGTGGCCACGGCCTGGGCCACCTCCTGGCAGCTGCTCTCCCGTGGCCGCACCGTTTCCTCCTGGCGGTGCATCGCCTTTTGTTCGATGCGTGAAGGGACGCCTGTGCCCTGAATAAAGGGGCTGTTCAGCTGAAAAAAAAAAAAAAAAAGGGAGGAGAGAGCAGAAAAACTGGTGCCTTTTACACCAGCAGCTCCACGGGGGTCACCCGAGGCCACCCATCATGGCTAGCTGAAGGTCTGCCTTGGCTCATGCAGTCGTTTCAGACCATGTTGGGCCCGTCTTGTGTCAGCTTTATCCAAGTGGGGCTAGGCTCTTTAATCCCCACAGGCTTCAAAGGACATTTTTGAGCCTGGAGGATATCTCCCCTGCTGGAACTACAGGCCGCTGTAGCCGAGGGCCAGCTCTGGAGGGTGAGGCTGGCCAAGCGCCACCTGTCCGGCTCAGCCTGAAAGGCGGTGGCTGCCACGCTCAGCATCAGCAAAGCAAAATCTGAGGTTGCCTAGGCAATGCTTGCCCACATCCGGCATACAGGGTACTGCAGAGCAGCCACTGGCAGCAGAGCGGTGAAGTCTGCAGCAAAAGAGAGCGCCTTGAAGAAGGAGCAAAGCTGAGAACTGCATGCGGTCATGGTGGCAGAGCAGGGAGTGCTGGCTTTTTAGGGCCTGATTTTGCAAGTGGATGGTGGCTCTGTAGGCTCTGACATCTACCCAAGGTCTTCTCCAGCGCCACAAAGCTCACCCAGTTCTTCTGGGTCAGCTGGAAGCTTAACTTGGGACAGCCCTTGGAGCAACCATGGCCTCACAGGTGGCAGAGCGAGGAGCCCTCATGCCCCTTCTACATAAGTTTGGTGCCCTTGGCAGGGGCAAAAATGTCAATTTTAAAGCCCCTAGTGCCATGATTCAGGGCTTCCTCATGGCAGAGGTGGTACGGAAGAGCCCAGCCTGCATCCAAATGCATTTTCTTAATGCAGAGGAGACCTAACTTCTGGAGCTCACAACTGATACATGGCACAAGGCAGCAACCCCAAAGCCAAACCAGAGTGCATTCCTCTTATCAGCTTCACGCTGTCTCTGTTCCTGCCTCTGCTGGCAGCAACAGCTCTCTTGGGGTCACACGAGGAGAAAGCAAACTCCCCTCGCAGCCCACAAGCCCTTTGGCCTGGCTAGCGGGGACAGAGCTACAAGCACCCATGGCAGCTCTTTTCCCATTTGCACCTGCAGGCTTACGGAAAATGGGACAAAACGTGACACCCCCCTGAGCACACGCAGCTTCCTTAGCTGTGCTTAGATAGTATTGTTTCGGAAAGGGTTAATAATAGCAGTTTTTCTCTCATTACTCCAGAGTCTCACAACAGGTTCAGGAAACCTTTCTCAAATGTGTAATAAATAAATAAATAAATAAATAAATGGGAAAAAAAAMCCCAAAAACAACAAGACACCAAAAATCAATGGGCAGAAAGCAAAAGCTGCTGCGTATACCCTCTGCCCTCAAACCTTCCAGAGAGCCTGTGCAGAACTACTACCATCCCCTAAAGGAGTAATTTGGAACACTGCTGATACGAAGGCCAGATAACAGGGTTAAAGTGAAACTATTTTGCAAGCTGCCTGCAACCCGCTCCATGATTGCATCTGCGAGCTGGCGGCGGCGCCGGGGACCCAGCCCGGCAGCGGCGCGCGGGGGAATGCCCGAAAGGACAGGCTTTTCCCCCACTTTTGGGTTTTTTGGCTTTTTTTTTTTGGGGGGGGGGGGGGAAGGAGGAGCGGGTGTCTTTAAAGAAGTGGCAGCTTCACCCCAGAGGCTTCGCTAGTGCTCCCGCAAAGCCCGGACGGTTCCTGCGCGCGGGCGGCAAGTGCTGCCTAACGCCGCCGGGCGAGTCGGGCCGAGCTGGGCCGGGCCGGGCCGGGCGGACCCTGTCCCCGAGCGGACCTACCTGGATGCCGAGGCCGCGGCCGCTGCTCCGCGCCGCCTCAGGACGAGTGTCCGCAGCGGGAGGCGCCGCTGCCTCCGCGCCGCCCCCGGCCGCGCTGCTCGGCGGGGCGGACCCGCCGCCGGCTGGGCCGGGCCGGGCCGGGCCGGGCCGGGGAGCCGCTACCTCTCTCGCTGCGCTGCGCTGCGGAGGGGCCGGGCCGGGCCAGGCGGGCCGCGCCGCCTCCGCGCTTGGCGGACCGCAGGGCCAAGCGCCCGGCCGGCATCGTAGGGGTTCGGTCCGTGTCCAGCCGGGGCAGGAGAGCTCGAGCGTGCCCCGGGGGGCTGGGAGGAGACCGGCAAGGAGGGAGGGAAGGTGCTGCTTGCCCCCGCGCCGGCACCCTCCTGCTCCCGTGTCTGCTCCCGGGGATCTTGCATGGATGTTTTTAGGTCCGACAAGGTGCAGCTGGCCCCTTGTTCCCTTCTTCATAGCCCAAGCTGCATACCCTGGCTAAGATGCAAGCGAATGGGGGATTCGGGATGCTGCTGATGTCCAGACCCTGCTCAGTTTGGGAAGGTGAAGTTGCCCTTCACAACACAAGGGACCAGGCACAAGGGACCTGGCTGGCCTAATCAGCAGCTTCTCAGGGGCCCGGCTTCACTGGGGGACACACTGTTTGCTGCTCACTTCACCTTGTGGGTTTGTTTTTTTTTTTTTTTTTTTTAACCATCCACATAGAGTTGTCTTAACTCTCATGCAGCAAGGGCTCTGTGACTAAGATACTACTGCAGCACAGGGCTCCTTAAAAACCCTCACAGGGTAGAGGAAGCTGTGACTCAGAAGCTGATGAATCATACCGGCCTTCCTCAGGATAAGGCTTTTTATTCTTGTATTTTTTTTTTTTTTTTTTTTTTTTTTTTTTCTCCTTCCTCTTCATGCCCCTCATCAGATCCAGGAACACTGCCTGGCCTATCCAGTCCTGGTGCCACCCAAAGAGAGTTTGGGCGTCTTGAAGGCCTTGGGGTTTCTGTCCACTGGGTTTCAGAGCAGGGCCCTTGGCAGCTTGCAGCCTTTGCCTGCTTTCCCAAGGCTGGATAGTCCCTTGAGACTGTTTGTTTTTCCAGCCCAGAGGAGCCAGTTCTGACTGAATTCTTGTGCACCAGGAGAGAGCTGGCCCCAGCCCTGGCCCATGGCCCCGGGGAGTATTGCTACCAGCCTGCTTGCTCCTCGCCTACCGATGGGCAAGGTTGCTGTTCCTGCAAAGCCATGCTGGAAGACAAAAAGGGAATAAACTGTGTCAGCATTTCAGCTCAATACCCAGGGATTGCACAGCAGAGACCTGCTCTGGAAGGCTCCTTTTGTGGAGGGGGCAGCACCTCAGGGTTGCTCTGCACTGGGGAGCTGCGCCAGGAGGGTATCTCCCTCCAGGCTGCTGGTGGCCGTGATTCCTACTCGTGCGCAAGGGGCCAAGCCTAAAGTAAGCAATGGAAAACTCTGCCGCAGGGGTAGCATTCCTTGCCCATTCCCTATGCTTTTCCTGCCCTCCCATGAAAAACTGGCTGTTCCAGTGCTAAAAATAAAGTGGGCTGTGTAAAAATAGCAGCCTCCGCTAGTTGCTTTGAGAATGGCAATGATTTTTTCCGGCCCTAGTGTGCCGTTCAGGAGGTGATATGGTGCTGGGAGGGATGAGGAGCCCGGCCTGGGGAGGGATGAGGCGGTACTCAAGCCTCCCTCGCTCCCCAACCTTCAGCTGGCCCTGGGTGTCCTCAAGGGCTGCATTTACCTCCTCCCTGGGGAGGCTGTAGTTGGGGCAGGGGAAGAAGTGGGGAGGGCAATGCAAATAGTGCAGTGCAAGGAGGGGGGAGAAAAGAGAGGGCCGAGGCGGGAGAGGCCTGTTCATTGTGGCCCCTGGCARGAAGAAAGGCCCTTTGAGGGGCATTTTGGAAAGCTGTGAGGTCACTCAGGGTGGACACGGGGCCGACGTGGGTGCTCAGCTGGGGTGAGAGATTGTGAACGCCTGCCATAAGGGCAAGAGAGCGACCACAGTGTAATAAAGGGGAAGAGAGTAGGCTGAAGGTAGAAATTCTGTTTCCTTTCTATCTCAGGATTGGGATTCCTTATTCCCTTCTCTGGTCTGCTGCATGTCATGAGCRGGGAAGATGGGAAGACACTTGTGTGTGCTGCACAGCCTGCAGTGGGAACAACAGCTTGAAAACAGCATTTGAATGGACAGACATAAGAAATAACATGCAATGAGTTGTGCTCATGCTTACGTAGGAATGCAGCTGCCTGTGGCAGGGCTTGGAGAAACCTGGGTGCCCAGGAACAACGCAGTGCTGGGCGAAGCTGCTAATTCCTGCAGGCGCTCTGTGGGAATTAGCAGTGGCAGCTCAGGACTGCAGCAGATTGGGCAGTAGCTCCCCAGGTCCAGCCCCGAGCCCATCACACAATTCTTTAGTCTGTGAACTGAAAAGCAAGCATGAGCTCTCCTGCGGAGGAAGGGAAGTGGTCACTTTGGGGTGTCACCATGCTGCAGGTTTTGGGGCTTTGTTTTTTCCATACTGCTGCGGCTGGGCACTCAGCTGGTTGCATATATGTGTGAGGGGGAAGCCCCAACATGCAAAAGCCTGTTTTTCTACCAAATTGGAGCAAAAAGAGAAATTTCTAACTCGCCGCAAAGCAAATTTTGCCTATTTTGTCACTCCGAAATTAAATATGGAAAATATTGCAGCTGTCTGGCTGAAGGTATTCTCTCGGGCTTTCTCATTTTGGCTCCGTGTTAGATATTAAAACAGGAGGCAAGGCAGGCTAAATGCCGCCTGTGTGCTGAGAGAGAGAGGACTTCCTGCATTCTCTGCAATCTGCCCCCATCACCACTCTTGCTTAATCAATGTTTTACCCTAGGAGCATGTTCTGTTGAAACTGTGTTTACCCCAGCAAATTCACTGGCTGAAATACTGTTTGCTAAGAAATCAGTTATGGCCATCCCAGGGCTCTGGCCTGGGATTCTCTCCATTTCTGTTTTATTTTTATTATTTTTAACTTCTGTGCTCGTGTAAGCTGTGCGGCCCAGCAGCCCCTCGATGCACTGCTTAGAGTGTACTTAAAGTGTGCTTAAAACYCTTGGAGAAGATCACACATTGCAAACGGCAAACTGGTGGCTTTTCGGTTTTCTGACTTTTGTTCARAGCTGCTCAGCTTATGCCCTCCCAAATCGCTTGCAAATTCATTGCTTTTTTTTTTACTGCAGTGGGGCTTCACCAGGAGCTATGGGCCCTCTTGTTTTGCAAGCTCTGAAAGAGGAAGCTTGCACCAGACAGGCAGCTTTGTGGCTCAGGGGAGGCTGCTTTGCAATTCAGCTCATGGGGGTGTTTCCTGTGTGCAAGGAGCAGGTTTAGATCAGGCTCGGCTTCAACTGGAGTCATTCGGGTCTCACCAAGGTGTCTCTCTCTGCAGGATGCAGCTCTAGGGGCTTTTCCCATGCTTTTTTTTGCTTCTCTTTCTGGGCCGCGCTGATTCCCAACTCGCTCCCCACAGCTCCTCCTACCACATCAGGGACTAGCACTCCAGASACTCGTTTGGATTGTTTTATTAATGTATAGAAAATGCATTAAAAAAAGGAACTATACATAGCTAAAGAGCGGTCAGGACTAAAAATACTAGTTAACAACGGTTAACAAGCGTCAATCCCATTCTCCAAGCTACGTTGCCATTGCAGGGTGCAGAGGGTTGTTTAGTATATTATTTATTTATTTATTTATTTATTTAATTTATTTACTTATTTTTACCCCCACCCTAACCCCATTTTGTCTCACTGATTTCTGTTTTACCTCATCAGGATTTGTCCAATGGATTTTGGTGTCTCCATTCTTCCTCTTTGCTTGTTCTGTTTTGGAAGCAGTGATGCCTCTCGTGTCCGGCCTCTACAAAAGGAACTATGTTTTGCCTTTATTTTTTTGTTGCTGTTTTGATTGGTTTCTCAGTTTGCATCCTCGCCGCTCCAAGCAAGTGCCAGAGTCAACTGAGCAGCATGGTTGCCTGCTGAGGCCACGTGCCACTCAAAGTCTGGGCTTCACTGTGTCCCGGACAGGGGTGTCCTCGTATCTTCACTCGCTTCCCCAAAGACCCTTCCCTTCAGAGGAGCTGGGAGCATCTACCAGCCATCTCTGCTGCCAACCCAGATGGGTATCTCGCAGCCCGCGGGTGGGCGGATAGAACTCGGTGTCATGGGGGTCAATGGGCATAAGTGGGAATTAAAAAGAGTTTTGGGGCATGAGCTTGTTGCCCTTTCACAAGCTATTCACTTGTGTATACCTCACTAACGTGGCTTTGCTAAAAGTAGCTCTTCTTTCCTGCCTGCTTTCTTTGGTCGCATTTCTAAGAGGTGAGCAGAGGTGGGTTTAGCAATTGAGCAGGACTGGAAATGGGTAAGTTAAACTAGGGAAGAGAGGTGTGGAAGCCCCCTGGCATTCCCAGATGCTTAATGTTCCCATCTCTGTGTGTTAGCGCGTTGGGCTGAGGACAGAGATGCCAAGGTGATGGGAGATGAGCTGTCATCTCAGAACTCCCAGCTGCGATTGCGCTCCATAGTGCCAAGAAGTGCCCTGCCTGGCCCAGCCAGCTCAGATGAGCTCGCCAGCAATCTCCCACCTCCTGTTTCCTTGTCTGCGCTTTGGGAAAGCTGCTGAGTATCCAAATGCTGCTCACCAAGTTGAAGGCTGCCAGTTGGTTTTAGTGGGCTTTGCTGTTGATGGAGCTCCTGGGCTCTAATGTTTCCTTCTCTTGCTAGAGCAGGAAGGTCTCCCATTGCTAGGGACAAGCAGGGCTTTGGGTTAGAAAGCAGAGGTGGCTTTGAAGGCCACCGGGATCCAGGACATGTGCCAAGCTCTGCTAGGGGTAAGACCTAATTTATTTTTTCTCATTGGTACTCTGGTATTTAGCATCTGGCACATGGAAGTGCACTTTTGGATGGTGTCTTCTGGTTCATTCTGGGGCCTGGTCCAAATAAGAGCCCAGCCTTGCAAGCTGGATGCACAGAAGAGCCACCAGGGAGTTCAGGAGTGATTGAAGTGTGGGAGCKAAGGTCTTTGGAGATGAACATGGCACAGGAGTCATGTCACAGTGAGGGAAAAAGACAYATTTGTTCTGGTTGGAGAATTAGTTCAGAAAAAGTTCATCCTGCTCAACCAACCAAATCACTCGGCCTTTCTGCAGCATCAATATTAAGCACAAATATGCCTGAAAACAATAGTGAGAGATTTATCAAAAGAAATGTATGGGACAATGCTGAAAAATAAAATTCTGAAAAATTTCATCTTGTTTATGGGCCATGTGAATGAGGCACAAGGACCAGCGTGACTAGTTTGTCTTTGCTCATTGTTTGCTTATGCTTTGGTAGGGTTATCACCCAAACTATAACATTAAAGCATTTTTAGAAACTCTTTTTCCCCAAGGTAGTGAACACAAGACCCTGGTGCTCTTGGTGCGAAATCAGAGATACAGCAACATTGTTGTCCAAGTAAAGACGGCACCTGACTCAGAAAGGCCTAGATACCTTAGGAAGGAAGCAGAGCAAGAACCAGAAGAACCAGGAATGTGCCAGGACTTCTTGCTGGTAATTTTTTTTTTTTTTTTTTCTAGAAGAACCTGTCTCAGGTTATAATAATTTTGGAAGGTCAGACATTATCTCCAAGTGTGTCCTTCTGCCTCAATATTGGAGTTCTGGTAACTGGGTGCTCTCATCCCATCTATAGGACTTAGGAAAGCAATGGCAGACATCATCAGGGAGAGAAGAACACATGACAGGAAATCTATTTAGAGAATAATCAGCCTTTTAAAGATCTTTAAAAAGATCTTTTGAGCTGCCTGGAAAAACAAGGCTGAAAGAAAGCTCTTTCTGAAGTCCAATATATGAGATTGTGATTTCGTTGAGCACTTTTTAAAAATTTTCTGTTTGTTTTGTGCTTACAGAAAAGAGAAAGGTTTCTTGCCTTTTGCTGACAGTGAATGTTGAATTCCCATATTTCTACTGGGTCGAAAAGGAACCATGTCACCCACCCATGCTGAACAACCACTTTCTAAACAGAAAATTAATACTATCCACCGTCAGTCTCGGGTCCTATTTATAACTACTGGACTCAAGAGCTTTTGTTAGTGTACTTTTTATCCATAAACTTGGGTCGTATTGGGAAAATATGACTCTCCAGTTCTACTAGGAGTCATCTTATGTTTTGATCATTTCTGCCTGTTGCTTCTTGTTGGTTTGGGAGGCCTAAAATGAGGCAAGTTGATCATCTTGCCACACTGACTGTCTGCTGTGAGAGGTTCCATCTTCTCTGTCCTCTTTGACCCATTCCTCGATCAGATGATTTGCTTACTGCCTGTTTTCACACCAATGGGTTGTTAGAAGAGATGCCTCACTTACATGAGGTGCTACTGTACTACAGCATCCTTCCTCCTGGTCAGACTGTCCCTGTCAGCTAGTAAGYTGACCACTTGAGTGGTTCAACCCTGGAACTAATCCTGACCTCTGGGTGAGCTATGTTTTTGTGTGCCAGGCCATGGCATAGATAAGGAAGCTGCATTTCTTGCTTAATGTCCTTCAGCTCCACATCAGTGGTGAATAACATCAGAAAATCTAAGGGCATGACTGTGAAAGAGACTGTCCTGAATTGTAAGCTACTGTAAAGATGCCTTTATGTTGCCTTCTGGAAGTGCTTCTTAAGACAAAGTAGTTTCAGTGTGATAAAATCAAAAAGCGGTGTTTTGTATTTGTACTGCTCCCTTAGCTGTGAACCCAGGCAGGAGCTGCATTGTACTTGCATGTAAGAATCAGAAGTGGGGACGAGTCCTTTATCCTAGACCAGGCCAACCACAATGCAAAACATTGATTAGAATTGTCAGCAGAGAGGGCTAAATCCAGTGTGACACGTGCTTGTGATAAGTGGAGGTAGTGCCAATGAAAACAGAGCACAAAGAGAGCTCTCTGAAGAGCATATCTTCTTTAAGAAAGGAGAAGTAAAGGACAGGAAGAGCAACTCACTGGTTCTTTCCAGAGTCTCAAAGTGATGTACAAATCTTAATGGACTAAATCTTCCTTCAAGGAAGGGAAGCAGCTGAATTTCCCATTACAGAGATGGTGATACCAAGGCACTGAGAATTTGTGTCCCTCTTGCAATCACAGGGATGGTGTAGGAGCAGGAAGGGTATGGGTGTTTCTCAGCTTGTACTTCTCTTCCCTTGTCTGCATCATCACTGCTCCCACTTCACGCACAGAGGTCCATAAGCCTAGCTCGTGGGCTAGGCTGATGACTGCTACATAATCTGCTGGCTTCCAGATGGACTGTAGCCATCTGGAACTTCTTTGGTTGCTGGTCTTTCACTGACACTCTTTGGTTTCGGACCAGCTACCTCTGTGGGAGTCAATATGTTGATATATAAAAATAGTAGAATAACTGGGTCCAAATTAGACTTAAAGAGTGCAGGATATTTTTTCCCTCCCAAATTGTCTCATTTATCTCCTTTCCTCTCCCTTAAGCTAAACATAACCCAGATAAATATCACGCACTATGGCTGTGCTGAGCTCAGCYCMCAGAGGAGAAGAGTGATGATACAGCTTTCAAGTATTCATGGCTGGTAGAACAGTTCTTGATCTATACTTTCTGCTCCTCTACATGTCATCTACAAGAGGATGACTTTGGCTGTGATGGACTATGTATTGATGGGGTTAACATATGAATTGTGGGTACTCTAGAATTTCTTTGCATGTGCAAACGTTTCCCATGCCCTCCTAGTGAGATCTGCACTAGTTGAACTCTGTATATGAGGCTTTGAGTTCTCATCCTCACTTTGTTTGCACCCRTACAGTGCCTATGCATAGGGAGGGGCATAACCAGGCCATGTGGCCTTGGCCAAAGGGAGAGACAGGCTTCCCACCTGCTGGAAGAGCTGGAATGCTGGGAAGCTCAGGACCTGCTGGCAGAGAGGAGAGAGGTGAGGACAAAAAGGATCGGTGTCTGGCTACTCTTACGTGGTGGAAACAGCTGCATCAAGAACCTTGGGTGTGAAAGTTTCTGCCGTGTGGCCCAAAAGTCTGACAAGTCCCAGGCTGCAGGGAGGTAATCTGCCCAAAGAGAGGGTCTGCCCTGTGCTGTGGCCAGGCCTGTCCCCGTCCGAGTGGCTGGTGAACTGGTTCTGCTCTGAGAACAGGGGAGGGAGCTCACAGCAGAGATGGTGGTGATAGGGCAAGTGAAATGCTTCTGATAGGGATTGCTGGAGATTTCTAAGTCTTTTAAAAAAATATCACAAATCTGTCTGTCTTTCTTTTCATGTTAAGGGTAGAGGTTTGGGGATAGGAAGTGTGTAAAATTGTTATTTCTCTGGGACTGATGCTAAGCAATGAGGTCTTTCCTTTTCCACAGCCTTTACTTGTGCCATGGTTCCCTCCAGGACTAGTGAGGGGCGGATTGCTATCTCAGAGGAGTAATATTTTTTCCCCTTTTTGTATTATAAAATACAAACAAATGACAGAAAAGGTCAGGTGGTGGGAAGTGGGAGAGGGGTCCTGCTTCCTCAGAGCTGTAGGGACCGTCGCTTCTTCACAGAGACGTTATGGTGGTTGTAGGGTCGCATCTTCATTTCCACAAAGGGTATGGAGAACTCATGGCCTTTCCAATGGTACCAGTTAATCCCCTGGCAGGAGGGAAAAAAAAAAAAAAAGGTACAGGGTGAAGAAAAAGCCTAACACAAAACAAGAATGGGAGAAGAAGGAGATAAACTTGAATTCTGCAGAGGTACCAGAAGGAAGAAAAGAATTTGTTTTTGGGAGCAAAAAAAAAAAAAAAAACCTTATGCTGCTTTGACTTGTTTGGTCATTCTTGCCTCACAAAAGCTTTTGATTATATACGTATACAAAAATATATAAATATACATACACACACACATAGATATCAATGTGACTTAGCAAGCTGCCTGGGTAAATGACCATGGCAGCCAATATAAGGTACAAAGCATCAGCCTAAATGGCTCAAAGGTGACTCCTTCAGTTGATATAGGATAACTCCTGAAGTGCTCCTGATTCCTGAGCAGCCTATGTTTGCTCTCTTCATAATGAGGAGGAGGCACCGCTTTTGCCTCATGTTAATAAATAAAGAATCTGGCAGACARTGAGGAAATGGGGAAGGGACCAAGAATACAGAGTGGTGAGTCACACAGTTACAAGAAATGCTGTGCCAGCTTTGCCCTTACCTGACTGTGACGGGACTCTCCGTACTTGCCGTTGAGGTTGGTCCGGTGGCAGTTCTTGTACCACCAGGCCCCTTTGTATGACATGGCACAGTTAGTCACAGCAACATCATTGTCCCTGTCCTTGGTGGAGAAGGGACGGCCTTGGTGATAGGTGAGGGAATCCCCTGCAGAAAGACACGCCATTAAGGGTAACTGACAGACAAGGTTGCTCTTGGGTCATGCATCTTGATGCTCAAGAGCCTGAATCCTCTCCCTGCCATCCTGCAGCCTAGGGTGCTTCAGCATGAGGCTGTGTTCAGGAAGCTCTCTGATGAGCAAAGCCGAGTGCTGCTGTGTCAGTCAAGCAAGCAGGTTTAACAGTATCCTTGTAAAAATGGCTAGTGTTTGGCCCTTATATAATGAAAGTATGCAGCAGGTTGCAGATTTTCCATTGCTTTGGGAGGGTAATAAATTCACCCTGCAGCATGTCATGGCATTACTAGAGCTGCAGGTACTGTTGAGTGAAATGACACCTCTGACTATTGATCCAGCCATTGGAACAGCAAGGGCTATTACATTAAATATCCAATCCCCATTGGAAAATTCACTGTGTCGTTAGTGGGATTTATCCATCTAGTTTCCGTGATGAACAGAAAGRAAGAGCTATGGATTAGTGCCTGGCTGTTTCAGAAGAGTAAGAAACAACTTTGAGTTAGGATTTCCTTTACAGTTTTAGACCCACCAGTCCTAGAAGCTTCCTACAACATATTAACTGCTGTCTAGCATGAGTTTCTACCGGAGGTGCCGTTGTATTCTCCTATTCGGAGCTTGTACAGATTTCTGGAGTCACCGATGGAGAATTTGTCGTAGTAGGCATACGCTGCTTCCTGGCCATCTCTCATGTCTATTCGCAATTCATAGCGCCCCTGGGAGGTGATCTTGTGGATGTTGTCCAAGCCTGGAAAGACAAGTAGTGAGACACTCAGTGAGACCCAGTGCCTGGATATGCTCTGTAAGCAAACTGAAAAAGCATTAGACAAACAAAATAGCTATTAGAAATGAAAGCAAGGAGAGGAACCACTGAGTAACAGTGCTTCTGGTTAGGTTTTGCTCTCTCCTRGCAGTGGTTGGGTCTGAACTTTCTGTCCTCCACTTTTTAGCACCAGTGAATCTGGGGGCTATCAGCTGTGGTGCTTGTCCTGTTACATATACCTCTGGGTGATAAACTCACTTAACAAACAGAGTGTATTTATACTGTTGAGCTGGCCTTGGTCATGCTCATTTTTATGGGAGAGGGATCCATCTTGGAGCTGTGCTGAGTCTCCTTCTTTACCCTTTTTCTTTTTACTTTGAACAACTGTCTTGCTCACTGAAGCCATGGGAGACCTATGAGCCATAAATGCCACTTGTTATCCAAGGAAAATACCAAATTCTGTCCCACAAATTGCCCCTGTGTACACTTTTCTCAGTCTGGGCCTGTCTTTGGAGGAATCTATGGAGTGATTCAGTTGTACAGGACATTCATGTGGCAAACAGAAATGGTCCAAGGAATTAGATAGTACAGTCCAGTGCTGGGATTTTGCTGCTATTAGGTTTAGGCAGAGTCAAAATGAAAGGCTAGTATATTAACTTCACAAACTAGGGACCTGCTGGCCTTTGTGACTTACTGTTATCTTGTGTATCCATATATGACTGCTCTAATCATAAGGACAGGGAATGATCAACGGAAGAAAAGTGGTATTAAAGGAGAGGGAGAGCAACGAGAAGTATGGCAAAAAGCAAGAAGCTGAGAGCAGAGCTACCAGCTGAACAAGGCCAGGAAGAGAGCTAAGCTGGCAAGGACAAGCTGTTTGACTCACTGTTTGCCACAATCTCGGTTTTGACAGCACTAGAGAAAGACAGAACAGTGAAGGTGTTACCCAGCCAAAATTCATCTTCCAGGTTTCCAAAGCCAATCCGGTAGTCTGCCCACTTCCGGAAGAAATCTGTTAGCCCATTTTGCCTCCTCTGGAATACCTGCAGGGAGCAGAAAATGGATCGCTGATGGCCTAGCTAGGCTTTGGACTACCAAAAATTAAAAGAATATTTTGCCCCAGCACAGTGCCTTTCAAGGGGAAAAACTGCAATGCTCTTCCAGTTAATGTTAATTGCAGCTGTGTGTGGCTAGGGATACTCAATGTGCAAATAGATAAACAGAAAAGATGTTTAATGATATCCTCAGAAAATTAGTGTTATAGTAGGACAGAGTCAAGGAATCAGCCTTCAAACTTTTTGCTTAGCCCCAGACATGGTGATTCTAGTTTTCTAGCATATGATTCTACTGGTTCCTTTTCTAAGTCCTCCAGTGTGATATCTGATGAGATGTTTTGGAGTAGAAAGAGATGGAGGTAAATTTGTAAAAAGATTTGTGCTAGAAATCACCTTTTTTATTATTTTTTTCCTTTCAACATCTGCTGGAACTTTGTGTAATACATGTAAGTGAGTGTTTGTGATACAAGCAAAATCGAAGTGCCAGAGCACTCTTTACTTAAGTTGCCAGTCTTTGAGACATCTCAAGTTGAGATGTGATTTTGCAATTTGACAGCAAAATGGGTATTTGCCTCTGTGGAGATCCAGTATGGTTGATGCCTGACACCTTCCAATTGCAAATATTAAATATGAATCATTCACTTTGAAAGCTACTACCTTTCAAAGCTTTTTGTTTTTCTATACATTTCATTTATAGAACAATAAATAATTCTAGCTTCAATCTCTGATTTTGGTCCCCAAAAGCACAGTAAACATGTCAAGTAAATCAAAGGGCCTTTCTCCAAGCRTAGCATTAGTGCTGCTCCCTGTGGCATGGGAAATACAGTATGCAGTACTAAGCCTGTTCTGATCCTGCTCGGTGCAGTTCTTTGCTCTGCCTGAGGTCTTTGCTGGGCTTGTGGCCAGGTGTCTCTCTGCTGGGTTATCTTCTTAGGTCTTCAGGTAAGCAAGATGTGTCTTGCTCCATCCTTGGTGTGGACAAGGTTTAGGTAAACCATGTTGGTGCAGGAGGGAGCATTCATTGTTATGGAACCATATCTCTGGTCCCACTGCACAGGTGCCTCTGAGATAAAGCTAGGGTGACTGGGCTGCTCGATGTAGTGTCTCTTACATGAGCCATGGACTGGACCATGCTTTCTGTTGCTTTTCATGTGGAGGGCAGCATGGTGAATGGCCGTGGCTGTGACACTGGAGAGCAGCCAGGAGCCTGGGCTGAGGGTGGGCAGATGGGACGTGCTCTGCCAACCAGTGTGGGTGAGCACCCCACCCTGCCTCTTTAGGGGCAGGTGTTGCCCCTATGAAAGATCTGAAGAGAGCCTAAAGATTGAGAGAGTAGCCAATATTCAAGGAAAAAGCAGATTTGGCAACTTCTTCCTTTTGGCTCTTGTGCCAGCCCACAGCATGAAGCAAAGTCAGAAGGGTAAAGAAATGTCTGGTATGCAGAAACATCTATTTTTCACCCTGCCTGCATGCTGTTGCTCCTTTTTGCTTTAAAAATCATTGCAGGCTGCAAGTGAATGCTCTGCTGTGTGACCCTGCCTCTCCTGCCACCTTCCCCCCTTAAAGGGTGGCATTGCCTTTGTGAAGAAAGGAGCGTGGCATGACTTCTAAATCCCATCAGGGAGAGAAGAAAGGTGCAGGGGAAAGGCCCCGTTTGGATGATAGCTGTGCACAGCTACTTACAATCCACCCGCCTCCGTCTGTGGCCATGTCGCAGTAGACCTGCACCCTCTGGCCAAGGTCGCCGTTGAGGGAGATGGTGTACACTCCGCTCAGCGTGTCACCATTCATCAGGTGCTGCGTGCAGTCCTGAGGATTAGCAAAGACGCGACCGCCTGCAAAATTCAAGAAGCAAATCTTAGGCAGGGARGACCCCCTTCCCATGTGCCACAGAGGCCAACCTCAGTCTCACCTGGTTACAGTTCAGGGTTTGTACTGCCAAGGTACACAATTTTTATTTAATAGAAACAGTGTTCTCATTGTCTGCCATCAGTGGCTTTTTTTTTCTGTTTCATGCTAGTTTTATGCTAATACAACCTTGTGCAATTTTGTCTCTGACTGCAGAGCCACCTCAAAGATTACACCCTTTTTTCCATCACCTGCTTGAACTGTACTAGCTTTATGTGCCAACATAACAGATGAGAATAACAGAAAAGCCCATTCTATAGAAATATTAGAAAAGAGTCTTTTCCTTTTTATTGACATAAATAGTTTCTATTATCTCTTCAAAGCAGGTGAAAAGACATGTAACTAGAATGGAGCAGGGTGTCCACAGTGATTCCAAAGTGAACTCCAAGCAGAGAGATGTATTTCAGTGCCGGGGAATGGATATCATCTTTAGGCTTCTTAGTGTTTTTGAAATCTAGGAGAAATGTAATTAGATTTGGCCCAGAACAAAAGTCACTATGTCTAAGTGTTCTTGCAAAGCTTTTCAAAGAGAGTAGGGACTATATGCTTTCCACAATCTCTAATGTTAACGGTTGCAAAGAATGGGACAATTCATTTCATGCATTTTCAATCTTACTAGCCAAGTGCTCGGTCTGTAAGGGTTACAGTGGCTGTTGGATACCAACCATTTAATTTATCATGGAAACATTCCTCTTTGCCTTAGCAGATTGTGACTTGTGTACAGTTGGCAGAGGGGGGAACACTGCAACCAGACGGACATAAAAGCAGTGGCAACACAGTCATATGGTCATGCCGACTCCACTTTGCTGTGACTCTACTGATGTCGATGGAAATTTATCTGTTTCATAGTTGTAAGAGATCAGACCTTGTCTACAAAGCAGGGCAATGGAAGAGGTTTCTGCCTTGTCAATATAGGAGTATTGCCGTCTGTAACAGTGGTTTGTGTTGTCAGCAGCACAGCTAGGCCCGTGTGGCTTAGTGGAGGTGGTGTAAGTGCTCACCTGTGGTGAAGGTGGTGGAGGTGAAGCCGCTCCGCATGGCGTTTTGGGCAGCCTGCAGGCGCACAGTGTACTCTGTTGTCTCCGAAAGGCCCTCCAGGCGGATCCACGTGTCTTCGGCATCCACAATCAGCTCCTATACGTGAGTCCCAGAATGAGGTAGATACCAAAAGCAACAGATGAGAAAAGCAATGGGGAGCGTAAGGAGCTAGTGACTAGAGAAGGGAGCCAAAAGCTATTACCACCTTTGTTGTCTGACCAAGGGCACTTAAGTACACCCACAAACTTAGTCCTCAACCTTCCTTTTTGCAGATAGATATCATCACCCCCATTTTACCAGCGGGTTAGTGAGGCTGAGGAACTGGGATCACTTTCTTTAAACATCAGCTGGAGGGAGGACTGATGTGATGAGGCCAGGGAATAGGAAGGGCTGTGTCATTTAGGCATTATTTCTACGCCTTCACAGAATGTGACATGATGTTGAAAAGGCACAAATTCCTTAAGATGGACTTCAGACCAGCACAGAAAACCAGCATCATGTCCATGGACACATATAGCTTTTTGGAGTGGTTTAGATGAGACAGAGAAAGTTGGTTTGGACACAAAGCTGAATTCTTTTTCCTGAAGATATATATGTTTGCAGTCAGTGTGTTTTATTTACTGACTCTTGACTTGTATCTGAATGCACTCAATATAGGGCATGACAGATTGCCCTAGCACTGTATGGAGCAGAGCTGGCCAAATTTATTATCGGTCAGTTTTGGCTCTGTTAATTCCTCTCACATTATTTTTTCTGGTCTTCAGCCAAAGCCACATAGCATTATATTGAACTCTTTCTGCAAAAATGTTATCCTTTGGCCACTCTGTGCTGGCAAAGAAAAGAGACAATTTGCAGTGACGTATTTCTGATAGTTAGGAGCAGTTCTTCCAGACAGGCAAGCATGGGTACACTCATTAATCAAATATATTGTACTGCAGGATTAATTAGCTGTCTGTATCTGTCTATTTGCAAAAAGGCCCAATACCATCTCTAGTTGCTCTGTTTGCCAGACAATTGTCTCCTACCTCCACTTGCTTGTGTTTTCAAAAGACCTGAATTTTCACTCTTCCTTCCAACTTTCCAGRTATACTCTCTCTGTCCAGACTTGCAGGTGTGCATAAAATTTGCCCCAGGCATTCTCTTTATGCTTTTTCAATTGTTTATCTGAAGTAAATATTGCTTATGGAGAAATAGTGTGTACTCTTCTTAAGTCTTCCTAAATTAAGCAGCATTACTTTTGYCTTATTGGACTTTCCCTGCTCACTTCCCCCACTGTCATGTTCTTCTCTGACTTGATGAGCTTCATTCTTTGAGAGGACTCACCTTTCGGCTTCCATCTGTTGATCTGTAGGTCATGATGTAATTCTCAATCTCTCCCACTGGGGGCATCCAGGACAGAAGGGCRCTGCGTCGGGTGACTTCACTTGCAGTCAGGTTTGTTGGAGGGTCCAAAACTGCAAGGGTGGATGGGCACCCACGGAAGAGTATGCAAGTTCATACACACTCATAAGACCTCCTCACTCTGAGCAGATCCCCAGCTCAATTACCCGAGATTCACGCTCACAACTCTATGCTACAGCCAAAAGTTCATCCTAACGATGCAGACCAGATCACCCATCCCCAGCTTGGAACAAACCTCTGCAAACACTCTAAATGTGCTCCTCTGCCTGCACTTTCTCTGAAGAGTAATAGCTCTGCAACTTAGTGCAGAGCCTTAGTGCAGGTTCTTCGACTCTAAATGAATTCTAACACTCTTCTGGACATGGCTCTAGGCAAGAAAAAGACCTGATCAGGGGTCTTCTCTTCTTAGGAAAAAAAATCCTATGAAAGTGGTGGCTTATATTTGTTGTCATTTTTAATTCAGTTCCCGTGCCAAGCCCAAACCATGCTATTTGGGTGTCCTTTTGTAACATCTRCGTTGTAACAACTACATCTACATTTACATAACAAGCTTTGATGGCTCAGTCTTTCTGGCTTCTTTTCCTTGGATGGACAAATGACTAAAGGCATGTAACAGCTGGGAGTGGAGGAAGTTATTTTACGTACAAGTTGTAAAGTTGGTACTGATGGTCTGGCTTGTGAAAGGCCCATTGGTAGCATACATGGTGACTGTGTAGGTGGTACTGGGCAGAAGGTTGGTCAGCTGGTACTCTTGGTTGATTCCATCCACAAGAATTGTTTCTCCTGCAACTGAAAGTCAGAGAAGATGAGTTAGGCTTCTTGTCTGTTTCTCAGAAATGTRTTGAAGGATATCATCTTATGAGCAAAAGCAACTACTTTGTTGATACACTATGATACACCAAGGTGTATCATAGCTCATGGTGTATCATCAATGTAATTGTTTGGCAGCTTAACTGCTGATAGTGTTTGGTCTGAAGCATGGTATTGTTTCTTGTTTCTAAAGGAATTAAGCTGCAATAGTCYCTGGCAAATCTCACAGCTTGCTGGCACAGACAAACACAAAGATTTCTGTATACCTCTGTAGTGGGTGAGGACAATGACATAGTTCTCCACATCCGATAGCGGTGGGTTCCACTGCAGCAGGGCCTCCGTGGGAGTGACATTGGTGGCAGTGACACCCAAGGGGGCATCCATGGCTGCACAGGAAAGACAGATTTGGCAAATCAGAGGTGTGAAGAGCATCTGTGCCCTGAATCATGAACTTCAGGTTGTCTTCTGATCTGGTCCTGGCTCATGCTGGTCAGACACAGGTATATGTACATGTGTATGTATATGTATATATACACATACATATGTGTGTATATTTATACCTGTGCCTATATGTATATATATACCTGTGCCTGTGTATATATATAATGGAGGGTTTATTTCTGGGCTGTCTGAATATCAAAAGTGTCAGTATTTTGCACTGGTCTGTTATCTGGACTGGGCCTTTCCAGAGTTTTCTGACACGTAGCCTAGTATTTTAGCATATTTTCAGGATTTAAAGAACCTTTCATTGAGGATGTTGACAACAGTCTGGGGATGGGAGAGTTTTAATTCTCGCAGAGAATTAACAGCCTTCTTATGGAAGTTTAATGTGGCTGCAAAGACACCCAACCATTGTGTCTGGGTGTCCTTCACACCTCACAGATGGTGCCGATGTGACTGTGCAGTTTCCAGGACCAGTCTGGGAATGGACATGGTTTTGTCATATTATTGTCTCCCTTCCTGGGGACCTCCTTCCCACCTGTGTGTGCGGTGAGAGAGGCCAGCTCGCTCTCCTCCCGACCCCGCACACTCTTCACAGTGATCTCATACTCCGTAGCGGGCTGCAAGCGGTGGAGAGTGTGTTCGGTAGCATCTCTGGGGATCGCCATGGTGTCTGTTCTCCCTGTAGGAGCAGAGGAAGAAATTTGGGATCGTGGCACTGCTTGCCTTGTCCCTTCCTGGGTCCACAGGGGATGCTCAGTAGGGAAGGGCAAAGCTGGGCCCTCCAAGAGATCTTGGAGCCTGGTGCTAGGTGGCCAAAGTGCAGTTTCACACCTGCAGGCACACCACTGGGTAGGGATGCCAGGAGGCTCCCTCTGAGTAGGGAGCCTTAGTGGCTTGTTTCCAAAAGGGGCTGGAGGCAGCCCTGGAGGGGTCTACAGCAGGGTAGCTCAGAGGACATGCAAGAGTCAGCTATGCTGTTACCTTCAGCAGCCTGGTAGGACAATCTGTAGTGATCAAAAGTGGCAATGGGAGGACTCCAGTAGACAATCATGGAGTCCTGGGTCACGTTTCCTACCCTGAGGTCCTTTGGAGCATCGATCCCTGGGCAAGAGAGAGGAGGACACAAAGGTGTTAGAGGTCAGACTTCTTTTACTAGTGCAGAAAACTGCCCTTTGCTTAGAACTTGAGCAGCCAACACCATGTAAGGTCCATTCCAGTTTTAGTTGCCAGGACTGCAGGATTGGCACAACTGTGTGAGGTAGCTTGGACTGCCTGTGGGATGATATTAGTTCTGATAGTGGATCCCTGGCCATTGATGTGTCTGCCTCCTGCTTCCCCACTTGGCTAGGGTTCTAGCCTTGGTGATTGCCCTACTGTGCGTGGTTGTGATTTCTATAGCTAAGCATGGGAGACGATTCTGGTTTTAAGGGGATTTGGGAGCATAAGCTAAATAACAAATATGAATTTTSGCTGAGGTGGGGATTCAGGGATTATGGAAAGATAAAATGCTTAATCCRCTGGCATTGTTTTAGATTCTGTTGCCATGACAAAGAAGGGCCTAAGACAAAGTGAGATGAAATGGTATATGAGCTCAGTATCTAGAGAAGCCTGAATCAGGAGGTGTGCTCATGCAGCCTATAGTAAATCCCATAAAATGTTTCCTAAGTGTAACTGCTTCTGCATAAAAACAAATTGCCTCATCAACTCTAACTTAGGTTCCTGGCTTTAAGAAAAATGTCTCCCTCAAGTCCCTCTTTGAATTGAGCTGAGGAGCCCTCAGACGTCTCTGTGGGTGGTACATTACCTGTAGTTACAGAGCCCATGATGGGCTCTGAGCTGACTGTGCCGTGCACAGCCACCAGCGACACTTGGTACTCAGTGGCTGGCTGCAGCCCCATCAGGCTGATGTGTCTCCTGGTGCCATCTAGTGTGAGCTGCCGTGCCTCTTCTTTGCCCTGTGGGCTGTATTGTAGGATGAGCTGGTCAGCTGGTGGTGATGGGTCGCTCCAGGTGATGTTCACGCTGGAGGACGTCAGGTGAGAGAAGTGAAGCTGTGTGATGGGCCGGACTCCTGAAAGCCAGAGAGGTGGAAATGCAAACCTGCTCCTGTGAGGTGGTTACAACTGAGATTTGCCAGGTAATATGTGTCCATCCAAGGCTCATATTAATCAGTGATTCAGAACATCACTGTCTGCAGCATGATCATCTGCAAATCCTGGTGTCTGAATCATACTAAGTACTCAAACTACAGTATCCTGTCTCTGGTTCAGAAAATATCCAACAGATGYAGCAAAACACCAGTTTTTGACTCTCCCTTGATCCAAAACTGTATTGAGATCAACMGGCATAACTGGGAGGGGAAAACATGATACTTTACCAACAAACAAATCCCTGCGCAGGGCTGTATGATGATGGGACTCTGTGTAGAACTTTTGTGCAGAGAGGTTTCTAAGACCACTCAAGGCTTGTTTTCTCTTTGCTACAGGCAAATAGGACAGCCTGACCTACAGAGTATAGTGCGTGTTGGTGATTCCCTCCTCCTCTGCCTCTTCCTAATGGGAGCCACCAACAAATCAGGTGTGTTGAATGCAGATGGTAAGAGCTATGAGAACCGGCAAGGCCCTTAGGCTGTCCCACTTCTCAGGTCCATGAACCTGCTCTCATATGGATGAACTGCCACCTTATCATTGCTCTCATCCCCTTTGCTATCCCAACAGTGGCTGTGCTAGAGATGTGTCCACCTGGCAGAGGTACCAAGCATGGTGGACCATGCCATGCTTGGCCCTTGATCAGTTTACCCTTCTGTACCTGTGAATGCATCCACAGTGGATTCCAAACTCTGCTGGCGGCCCCGCTCAGCTATGATTGAGATGGTGTACTCTGTCCCAGGCTCCAGGTCTGAGAGAGTGAGCTGTGACTTGTCCCGGGGCACTGTCACTTCAGAGGCCATCCCCGAAGCTGGAGTGAAGGTGATGCGGTAGTGGTCAATGGGCCCGCTGGCCTTTGTCCAGGCTAGGGAGATGGATGTCTCTGTGGAGGCTGTCACCAGGAGGTCCCGAGGGCTGTCGAGCTCTATGGGGAAGGCACGTAAGGGCTGGGTTGAAGAGTTTGAGTAGACTCTGGGAGTGGGAGTTAGGGGTGCAGACAGATGTACCCAAGCACAAGCCATACTGAGTGGATGACTGGTATTTTGTGGGAAGGGTGGTGAGGACAACCAGTGCCTTGCCATGAAGGAGCTATGCTCCAAATGCTAGATTTGGCATGCTTAGTGTGAGCAGAAAACATTTGCTCTGTGTGATACTGTCCTGTGATTTGCTCTAGTGCAGAAAACTTACCAGTCCTGGCATTCATGGTGGCTGGCACACTCTGCTGGTCATCCATGATGGCTGATATTCCAATGCCGTACTCAGTCCCTGGCACCAGATCTACCAGGAAGTGCAAGGGAGACACAGTGAGAGCAGTGTGCTGCTGCGAGGTTATGAGCTCCCCGCTCCCTCTTCGTTAGCAAGCGTGTTGTGATAGCTTTGTCTAGGAATCACTGAACAGTGGAAAAGACGCTCGGAAGAGCATTGGGAAATGTTCTCAGAGAAGGTTCGAAAGCAACAGTTTCAGTGCCCAGGGGTCAAATGTGCTGGCTGCCAGAAACAGTACCTACCACTGAGATGAGAAAAGGTTTTGAAGAAGTTTTGGAGGAATAAGTGGATGGTGATCCCTAAAAAATGTATGGACTACCATAAGCAGAAAGCACTGGAGTAGGAGCACATATGAAGGTGCATATGGCAGCCACTGCCAAGACTCTGCTAAGGCAGTGAAATTGCTAGTAGAAGAGGGAAGTTGTGTTTCTAGTGGCTGGCAAGTCTCTGTGCAGATTGAAAGGAAAGAGCCAGCCCTTTTTTAAAAACCTCTCGCCAGGGAAATTGGATAATTCTAACACAAAAGAAAAAAAAAAGAAAAAAGAAGTTGTTGCTGAGATCTTTGTGATCTACTCTAAGTATCTACACGGAGGCACAAATTGTGTCTGTGAGTGAGAGCAAGCTGAGATAGGAAGGATGAAGAAATCATATTTGTCCCCAAAGTGATTCAACCTCAAATATTGTCATGGGCTTAGTTTCTTAAAAAAAAATATGCAGGGTAAATGAAATGCACATTAATTAATAACGGCACAGTCTTCCTAGGAGTGAATCAAACATGTTCTTTGTGGCTGACATATTCTGCAATTCCTGTCTCAAGGGAGATGGAAATCTAGCTAATCTAGCTAATTTCCTGAGCACCTATTGCTGATCATTATTTTCTCTTAGCAGAGTATCTCTTGGGTTTGTCTGTCACGTCTGTTTGACTCCTGATGACTTTATTTCTCTTCTGCCTGCACGTTATTGATCTTTCCCATCGGGCTAGAAAAACCCACCGGCAGAGCAAAGCTTGTCTGCATGCAGACGGCACTGCCATAACGTGGGATCTCACCCTAATGCTGTCCTTTCCTCCTGCCTTGTGTGGTGCACAGAAAGCACAAGTGCCTTGTTGCATGAGATTTTATCTTGCTGGCTGCTGCTGGAAGGATAGCAGAGTTTGCTTCCTATTGCAGAAAAAAAGGGAGCATGGTAGTTGGCCAGGGCATCACCTGCAGAAAAGCTCCACCCCAGCAAATCTGTGCTTCCAGCTCTGCCCTGAGCCTCAAGGCAGTATCACCCTGCCAGCTCAACAGTGATTTTAAGATTGAGTGCCAGGCTCATATCTAAGCAAGGAGCAGGTTGCCAGCTTCCCACCAAMGGCCTCAGAAAAACAGAGACGGAGTTAGAGGCAATGAGTTCCATGCTCCTCTGCAGTGCATTTGGGAGATTAGCATGCTCTGGCTCCAGACACCATACATACCTTCCCTAGGAAGGGATGTTGAGGGATGATGCCTTCATCTGCTGCTCTGTCCCTCTTGCTAAAGTGCCTGGTGGTRCTACAGGCCAAGAGGAGGACTTAGAGCAGGGACTTGGCTCCTGAACACTTTGGCAGATGCTTTGAAAAATAGGCTGGTGGTTTCACAGACTTTGTCCTTTGCTCCTACCCTGTAAGTAATAAAAGTCTGCTGAGAAGGAGGAAAATAGTCTGAGAGAAGGGAATTAGTTCGGTAGAGGAGAAAAAAAAAATGAACAGGAGGATGCAAAATGACATCTCCCCCAGATGTTTTGGGCATGGAAATATTGATGGTGTTTTTAATGTGCCATTTCTGATTTCAAAAAGAGATTTATGGGGTAAACTAAGGTTTACTTCCTCTTTAAACCCAGAATTCTTCTTGGCTCTGCCTCTCCTGGTGAGGCAGAGTCAGCAAATAGAGCCAGCAAAAGGAGTCAGCACTTGCTTTTGGCCTGTGGGTGCTGGAGACACCCTCTAAGGTGGTCTGCACCACTGGGTCACATAAATCTCAACAGTCTCCCGGGAGAGGGCTAGGTGGGAACAGGGGTGCTGGGGGGAGACCGCTGGGGTAYCAAGGGGCTTGAGCACCCTCAGCGCAATGGCGATGCTGGCTTCTGGGTTGGATTTTGAGCACTGTGAATGTGTGCTGGGAGAGCTGACCATGGAGTGAGGAAGTCCCCAGGCAGGGTCTGCCGGACAGAGCTGACTAAGGGCAGCTGCTGTAGTTTTGCTTACAAAACTCCAGCCCTGCTTTTGCATCTCTGCCAAGTGAGGGAAGATTTGCATCTTTCGAGGGACACCTCAGAGCTCAGCACCACCTCCCAGGTACCCGACCAAGGTGCCAGTGTCTGCTGCCATCCTTCCTGGGCTTCCCTTTGTCCCAGGTCTGGGGTGCAGTGAGTGGGGGGTGGCCTCTCGACTCCAGTCTCAGACAATGAGTCGTGCTACCACTGCTTTCCACCTCTGCTGCCTGGCTGCTGCGGAACTGCTAAACAGCTGCTGGTGCCAGTGGCGGAAAACGGAGGCCTTCAAGTGAAATTTAAGTGATTTCTCTTTTAGCTGGGTGGTATTTCTCTGCTGTAATTAGAATTGTGTTTGTTTACTGTACAGTACCCTGGGACCAAGCAGCATTGCACTTAAATGATGATGATGATGATGATGATGATGATGGAAAACAAACACCATATAAAAATCAGTTACGGTTACTGATTAAGCCTCCATGTCTCTGGAGCTGAGGCATGTAATGGAAGAGCAGCTAAATACCGAGGGGAATAGAATCATTACAGAGAGCTCTAAAGGACAGCACTGTCTATGAACATGTTGTTAACAAGGTCCAGGGAGATTTTGCTTAACATTGTCTGAGACTGGCAGTGGCAGGAAAGTGTCTGGAGCATGGTGTGTAATTCCAGCCTGTTGCTGATAATGGGGCATATGCACTATCTACGCATGGGCAGCTTTTTGTTTTACAGTCTTCAATCAGGCTTGTTTCTGTAGACCTGCATGGCTGATGTGTGGGGAGATTCCCAACAAACACAGTGGTTGGGCCCTTTCTGGGCTGGGAAGGTGCCAGGAGAGCAAAGAGAAATGCTGCTATRTCAAATTGAAAATATGGTGGGGCGCACCTCAGAACTAGGTGAGCGCAAAGCTCAATTACTGAGATTTTTTTTCATGTATGTGAATCATTTCATTACCTCAGATGCCACTGGAAGTGCAGATCTGGCAGGCAAACAGTTATAGCTGGGAAAAAATAGTGTAGTTTGTCATGGTGTTTCTGAAATGGGTGTTTGTGACTTCCCTGGTCATGCTCAGAGTGAGTGGTATTTACAAATCGCAGGTGGCATCCATGTGTTATCCTGAATAATGCAACACCTAGGAGACCCACAAAAAAAATGGGATCCCTGATTCAAACAGCGTTAGAATGCCAGATTAGGAAAAGGGTAACAAACCTAGGGATCCCAGCTTCCTCATGCCCAGTAGGTTATGGGGCTCTTTCCCATTAAAGTAACTTTCAAATTTCTTCTGTGCTTAGGTAGACAGTGCTTTGGGATGTGCACCAGCCTGCTTCCATGTCAAGTCTGCCTGGACCACAAAAATGCTACTTTTCTTGGGGAGGAAGGAAAGAGAGGATAATAATATAGTTTGCAGAGCCACCTAGAATACCTTCCCCTGTTTCTCCCTTTGCTTCCTGGCAGCTCTAGCTGGCATGCCCTGGGCACTTGGTGGGTCCCACAGGAGATCCAGTGCAGGGCTTCTACTGCCCAAATCTGACCTCCRCTTCTAGCACCCAAATCTGACTTCCACTGGAGGAGGGAACCTACCTGCAAGGGTGGCTCTGGTCGTTGGGCCACTGTCCCGGGGCACCAGTACTTCATGGTACTGCTCCCCGGCCAGAGTGCTGTACACCACACGGTAGCTGTGCACCTCAGCCTCGCTGTTGTCCCAGGCGAGCTCAAGGCTGGCTGCTGTTCGGGCACCCACACGCAGATTCTTGGGGGCATCGATCTCTGTGCAACACAAGGGACAGAAGCAGCAGTTCAGCACAGCTTGATGCAACACTGATGCAGTCACAGCACCCCTCTGTGAGCTACTCCTGGAGCTAACAGCATGTTATTAATAGAATAAATTTGTTATTTCCTCCAATTTGCACCAAGGGAAACGGAGGCACTGTGTGTAAGAGGGGAACAAAAGGCTCTGTATCAGTAAAGCACTGAATAGAGCCGCTGTAGCTCTCTTCTTGGTAGCTTGGAAGATCCTGAGCTTCTTTATGGACTCATTCATGTTCAGACATTGCTCTGAGTGATGCTGTGCTRTGGGTATCAGCACTGCTAAGGCTGTGTACCATATCTGCTCAGATGTGCACAGTGCATCTCTCCTGCAAGCTGCAGGTCTGCGTAGGCCTCACTGCGAGACAGGATCTGGCTGTTGTTGAATGCTAGGAGGCAAGAGTAATTACTGTTCTTTACTGGATCAGAATTTTATGTTTTTTTTTTGTGTGATGTCTCTTAGAAATAAAGCAAGGAAGGCCAACTCAGCAAATCAATTGCAGTGAAATTCTCGTAATAAATATATATCTGTATAGAGATTTATATGTACACACACAATTCATGCACTATGGTTATTGTAATGGGAGACGAGTATCCACCAGTAATATACATGACAGGTAATTTATATACTGTAAAACAGCATTGAAACATGCTCTCTACCTCCTCCTTTATGGCATGGTAAATTAAACCTGGTAGCTATCTGCAGGCTTAACATTAATTAAAGTTTTACTGACCAGTATTCATATGAGATATAAAATAAGATAACCACATCTTTAACTGTGTTGCTTCCAGGCATTTGGCTACAGATTCCTCAGGCAATGCATCTGCCTCAACTCTGACAGCTGAGCAGGTACARGAGAGACCATCTTTTTAAAATCAGGCATCTCATGCCTAAAGGTTTCTGATTTTTCTCAAATTACATTTCTCATACTTTAGGTTCATTTAAAAATTGCCTACTTATCTATGTGCGTTATTAAGGGCATCACTTCTGGCTTCAGTTTTTTAAAGTATGGCTTTGGGCTCCAGCCTAGAGAGAGTTCAAGGGTTTTTTGAAGCTGGTGGGATGATGGTCTTGACCTGCAGCTGTCTGGGACTTTTTACCAGCAGGCAGCTGGATGCTGTGGTAGGAGGTGACAGTGGTGGGACTCACCTAGTGACTGACACCTCAATTCAGATATTGATCTGGTCACCTAAGCACTGGCATTCAGACTAATCTGAGATGCTCAGGGCAATGTGAAAGATCTCCAAGGGGCACAGGMCATAGAGGGGAATGGAGTTTAACAAGTAGTGGATGATGGACAGAGGACATTTCAACTGACAATCTAGCAGTTTTCTGTTTTAGTGTGAGCTGGATCTCTCACTTCCTCTGTTGACTTGCTTTATTTATGGTATCTGAGACACCTTAACTTGAGCCCGAATCTTAACTTGGACATTATCCTTGTGCTATTATGTCCTTCTGTTGTATCAGATGAAATTTCAGCTCATTCGTTTGCAGGAGGGGAAAGGATCTTGCCATAGCAGAGGCAGTCTGGCACAACCTTGATTTGGATCCAGCTATGCAAATGCACACCCTCATTAAAGGCCAGCCTGTCTGCAGCTGGCGGCAGTGTGTGCCTCCACCTCATGAGGTGTGTTCTTGCAGCAGCAAGTCCTGTGGACTACCACTGGCTCCACTCCACTAGACCGCTAAAAGTGCAGTCCAACTTTTACACCGTGGACATTTTGGCCTGTGCTGCAGTGTTTATGCTCTGCAGAACTGGGATGAGTTTTAATTCTCACAAACAGATTGTAATTAGAATAGACAAACAAATGTCTGCAGATAAGAAGGCACTAGCTGAGGTTGAACCTTTTAAGTGCTGATAATTGCTGCTGTATTGCAGGCAAAAATGAACAGACAGCTATGGCACAGATCTGCTAGGGAGGAAAAATCCTTAGCCTGAGCTATATATGCCCTGGCGATGTGTAGAAGCAGAGCTCACACAGTGAGTTATTGCGCGGCGGACCTATTTTAAGGAATGTCACAAGACAAGAGCCTCATGGAGGTTGGGGATGTGCGCTCAATAGCAAAGCTGGGTGTCAGTGCACCGTGTTCCCCACACCTGGGTTTGGTCAGGTTTTAAGTGAGGTGCTTCCTGCTCCCTTTTCAGGGGGATGAAAGGTATTTAGATGCTGAGTTCAAAAACTAGCAAATTGGTCCACATCTGGCTACCTGTGGTGAAGTGGGTGAGGGCGGCGTCACTCTCGTTGGTGCCTCGCAGGCCGCTGACAGCCACCTCATAGCGGGAGCCCGGGCGCAGGGCCTGCAGGGAGTACTGGCTCAGCGGGGGCTGCAGGCGGAAGGTGGTCTTCCCTCCCTCCCCGTTCACCAGCCCGTACTTCAGCAGGATGGTGTCCACCTTGGCGCGTGGCGGCGTCCACTCCACAAAGGCCACAGTGTCAGAGACATCCCGCACCAAGATCTGGGTTGGACCATCAATTACTGGAGGAGAGACATACAGGCAGTGGTCAGGATGGGGGACATGAGGAGAGCAGCAGCAACAAAACAATGTCATAGGGATGATCAGCTGGGCCTTGGCAAGATGCCCATGGGATTGGCTCCTGTGGGGCTTCCCAGATCTTTAATCCAACATCATGGCCATTCTCTAGGCCCTCTCGGCTTTATCCACAGCTCAAAAGAGATGAGACACCAGACCAGGACCCAGAAACTCTCCCATCAGTGCCTGCTACAGTTATAATGCAATTTATGCATTTGCCTTAAGCTATTCATCAGCAGGAAGTCTTCTCTGGCTTTTGCAGGCAGAACCTCCCAGGACAAAACCTCTGCCTCTGACTATGGTCCATGTTCTTTGTTCATAGATGAATACTCATGGTTTGGATTGTGTTGAAATACACATAGTTCTTGCATGCCCAGTTCTTCATGCCATTCGAACTGTTCTTTACTGATAATTCCCTTCCACTTGACTTACTCTTTYCCTAGCCTTTCTATCACTGGCAAAATTTATGATGATGATTTTATGTCTTTTGAAAGGCATTGACAATATGTTAACTATTGTGGGCTGAGAACTGATTCAAATGATCAAGAAATGAGGTGCATGTCTAGAAGTGTTCCTGCTCTGCTGCCAAATCCTAGTTTGTATTTGAGCTGTAAGATCGGTGAGCTAGCCAGCTCTTAATAATGTGGCAGTTTTTGAGGTATTAGCATGGAGAAGAGAGGAGAAAATGGCACCTGTTACTGTGGCTCTTCCGAATGAGCAAGAAATACAACAATACATTGGATGTTGACCAAGCCTCTTTTTAAAAAAGGGATTTTAGATAAAATACTCATGCTGGGCATCTCCTGAGAGATGCTTTTTCTTTATTTGTTTCTTCACTTCCTGCTTCTTGGCCTCAAACTTATATGAGGCTATTATAACATTCCAGCTTTTTTTAGAGAAGTACAGTCTTTCCTGCTCTGCACTTCCAAAAACTAAAGCTCTAAAAAGCATRGGCTCAGAGTTAGTTGAGTGATCCTTTGAGACCAACAGCATCTCCAGCCTTAACTGTTTTAGCAACTGAAAGGAGGGAAATGCTTGGCTATTGCTCATGTAACATATATATTAAATGCACAGCCTGCTGGGCACTTCTTCTGGTCAATTTTCCACCTTTTCATTGTATGATGGTTTCTTGCACTTGTGACAGCTTATATAATTCCAAGGTAAGGGAAAAAACACACCAGTTTTGTAATTCCGGTTATTCTAAATGCAAGTACAGCTCATATATTATATATAATAAAAACGTCATTTCAGAGTAAGTGTGTACTGTGTCTCAGGGTGGGAAGATCCAAGGGGAGAACTGCCTGGATAGCTAACAGAGAGGTTTAGGAAATAAGTGTGGGGTAATTTGGAGCAGTAGATGTGAGATGTGGGAAAGAAACTGCAGTGGAAAAGTAAGGAGTACTTAGGCATTATATTTGGGGGGCAAAGTGATAGAATAGGGGCCTGAAGTCCAGCACAGTCAGCTCCAGGTCCCACTTTAATCTTCAATTCCCCCATCATGGAGATGGTGCTGGAGAGCATCAGGGTTACTCACAAGTTGTTGGCAAGTTGTGTGGCATGAAGTCACTCCTTGCCAGCTTGATCCCATCACCCAGCACAAGATGTTGAGAGGAAAAAAAAAAAAAGAGTGCTAGGGGCAAATAGGTAGGGGCAATAGCAAATAGGATAGTGCTGGATGTCTTCTGCAGTGAAGAGCTAGGATCCTGCCTTACTACCTGCACTTCTTTACACTGAGCTTGAAGTATTAGCATTTTTTTCCTTTCCTTTCAGGAAAGGGAAAAGAAGATTTGCTTGACCAGGAGATGTCTCTGTTAAGCCACATGGCGCAAAGCTCAGATGCAATAGGCTAGGAATGTGTCAAGGAAGCTAAAACCTGCAGCAAGCTGCCAAGGGTTGTGGCGGGTGGCTCAACCTTCGCTCTGTCATGCTCTCACCAGGCTCAGAGACAGACCCTGCCTCTACTAAGCTTCAAATTAGCAGCCTAAAGAGAACACCACCTCGTTATAACCTTCCCGGAGCTATTTAAATGCTGCTTCTGTTACAGCAGCTTGGATGGAGGTAGCTGTTTGCGCGACTGCCAAGTCGGATTGCAGCAGTTTTGGCATGGAGAGCCTCTTCTGTGTGGTGGCTATGTGCTGTGCCCATCACCAGATYTCCTCAAGCAAGGAGTGGAGCCATTTCCTGTGCACTTACTGAATTTCGTCTTGTCAATGAGGCAGAGAAGTGATCAGACAAATAAATGGTTTAGGAGGAGACATGATGTTGTTTCTAGCTCTGTGCCCTACTGCCTGATCTGACTGATTTGGTGGGAGTAGAGGGCATTTAGCAACACAAATGCAGGTGGGAATTTTAATCTCTCTGTTATTTAAGTAGGCAGTACCTTTATAGAGATGCTTCTTAGGGATGTCCAGACGCTGAAATGTGCCTCTGGTGAGTTTTATGTTAGAAAAAGAATTTATTTGTATGTCTAATAAGAGCTGACCAGTACCTTCAATCAGAACCCCATTAACCTCATCACAATTTCCTCTGTGCCAACAGGAGTTTGTGAAGGAGCGTGACAAAATACTACATGAAAAATCTATTGCTGCAATGCASCTCTGGCATTCAGAGTATTTGGCTAAGCCTCCAAAATTTGGGGTGTTTGACTGAAGGAAGCCATTATTCCATGATGCTCTAACTACCTGGTGTGGCAGATTTTGTGGCCCCAGCTTAGCTGACTAGCCGGTTTTGTGCTTGGAACTGAGTTCTGTGTAGGAAGTCTGTGATTTCTGGAATTATAATGTGCTTGTACAGAGCACTGTAGGCTTTCCTGACTGTGGCATGGCAAAGAGGACGCACTTCTGGGGCTATCAGTCTACTAAGTGCAGGATTGCTAATTACTGCTGATAGAGAGGACACTCGGGGAGATGATCAAAACAATTGTTTTAAGCCTTCACAGAACCCTAAACCAGTGTCCTTTTCAGGAATTAAAAAAAAAAAAAAAAACCCAGCTTAAGACAATCACTAATTTCACTAATTTTACCCCTGCTGGAGTAATGCCAGATGTAAGGGTTTCTTCTGCAACCAGAGGAAGTGACCAGGCTCTTATTTCTGGAAGCTGGGCACATGAGGGGCGGGCTCACTCACAGGTGGAGATGCTGTCAGACGCAGGGGGGCTCCTGACTTGCTCCTTGAGGGCTACTACAGTGACCGTGTACTCCTCACCCGGCTTCAGGCCCGTCTGGTTGAAGGTGGTGACGCTGCTGGGGAGCTGCGCAATCACGCCGCCTTCGTTGTTCTGCCAGAGTCAAACGAGTGATGGCGATTAGCAACACCAAACAGAGGTGCAAGAGCAGGGGAGGATTTGGGGGCTCTGCTGGCGTACACATGTGGGAACCCAGCAGGGCTCAGGAGCACCCTGTTATGGGGAAGGGCCCAACCCCAGTGCCTGCCACTTCCCACCCGGACTCATGGACTTGCACAGATCTCGCACCCATGAAGCACCATGCATTCAAGTTTTTGGTCTGAAGAATTCTTCCCTGTTCCCTGTATTATTTTTTTCCCTCTATGCATTATTTTGCTGTCTGTGTGTRCATTGCCACTAATTGCCTCTAGAAGAGACATGGTAATGAAATCAGAGCCTGAGCTAGACTGCCTTTGCCGAAGCAGCTGCTGCTCTGGTGCCAGGAGCCTCCTGCAGTTTGTATATTGATAAGAAACTGTAAGGCCTTCATTTTGGCATACACTGCCTTTTACATATCTTTATTAAATTCATTACCCTTTATGTTTTTACTCTGAAAAACATAAGTCTTTAAGCAATTGTAAATGTCGCCTTTTCTGCCAGTGTTTCAACACTGGATCTTTTCTCTCTGCTGTCTTCTCTAAGAATATTTTAAACAAATTTTGCACATAGCTTTCAATTCATATTCATCTTTGTTCTCATTTAAATAGGAAATCTTCCATTTTACTCCTAAATTGCCATTTTACCCTCCCTGATTTTCTATCCTAAATCTTTCACTGTTTGATCTTTTCACCCTTATCTCTACTTCTGCATCTCTGTACCACAAAGTTCTGTATTGTTGGATTTTGTTTTGTTCTGCCTTTTCCCTTTGAACCATGAGCAAATACATAGTCCCTGCTCAACATGGCTCTCATGGCATGTGAGTAACATGGGAGCATGGCAGGGTGATGCATGAACCCTTCCCAAACCAGCAGGCGCCAGGATAGTCAGCTTCCCRCTCAGTTTTTGGACAGGTAGGGCACTCTGGCTTTTGCAAGCCTATGGCTTAGATGTGAGTTGCGATATTAATATCATTACATGCGCCTGTTTTTTTTCTGGCTGCCCACCTTTGCTTTTATTTGGGGTGTGGCAATGAAAAGAGGTGGGTTATGTTTGATGTCTGCCGGGGACAGCTTTGCTTCCAGGACAGTGAGAAGACAGCACCCTCTGCCTTATTTTAGTAGGAAAGGCAGTGTGATATAAGGCAATTTTATCACCGTGGGTGTCGGGAAGAGATTAAGCCTTGCAGCACAGGAACAAGCACTTCATCGACCGATATCAACACACTTAAACACTCCATGAGCTACATCTCTTTGCTCCTTCTGAAATCCTACAGCCCCAGAAAAGCTATCTTTTTGCACTTGATTCCCTTGTTTTAATACTGAAGTGCTTCAGTTGGTTTGACAGTTTTAAGAGGAGCATTGCCCATCATTTAAAGTTCAGACAAATTTGGCCTCAAAAAGAATGCTTTGAGACAGGCTCAAACATTCAAGACAAAGGAAAAGGAAAGCTATTATGAAGCTAAAAGGATGGGAAGAAAGTGCTTGGGGTTTTTATTTTACTTTTCTTGTGGAGGACCTGGTCCCTGGGGCCCTAACAGTCAGGTCCATGCAGCTGCTTGAAAGTGGARATAGATTTTAACAAATAAATAATCCAGGAGAGAAACTCACTTCTACCACAGTGATCCCTTAAAATGCCTATATAATCACTTATCTRCTTTATGGGCACCCTGTAAAGATTAATTCATGAGTATCAGTGAAACATTTTAACAACATGCTAGTTTTTGCTACAAAACCAAAAGTGCTGGTGACCTTTCCATTACATGGGCTTATTGTTTCGTATTTTATTCTGACAGTGGATAAAATTACCTCAGGGTTTATAACAGCAATGTATGAACTTCAACTTTGGAAAAAAATTTCTGTGTCGGTCAAAAATTACAGTGAGATCCTTACAATGCTTTTGGAAAGCAAAGTGGGAAATGAGCTATTTAAAGCAATTGGGMCCTCATTTAGTAGTGTTTCTAATTGTACCTTTACAGTTAAGAGCTTTTAAAACTTTAGGGCCAAGTTCTGCCATTCTCTGCTGCCCAGAGCGGCCTTTTACTCCAACAAGAATATTACACAAATGAAAATGGCATAATTGAGCCCTTAATCAGCATTTCTTTTACTGCTGGGGTTTGAATGCTCATGTAAAGAGGCTATACAATTGAAGCTATACTTATGGATAAATGGTATAGAAATTATGAATATAGATGAAATACTTGACTTGCAATTTTTGTTATCATGCATAGAAAATATGCAATATTTAGGGCAGCATTTTCATCCTTTCATCTTTTCTGGCACAAATTCTACCTGTTCATTGCTGCAATTAAAATTCTATGGCAGGAGTTATCTGTGCATGTGACTGTAAATTGTTGAAGGTTGCCATCTGCAAGCTAAGGGTTTTTCAGTTAAATCTTGGYTCCTTAAATTAGCTTGATGTGCAGAAAGAAGGGATGAGAGAGTGGAGGAAGAGGAAGGGACATGCTGTTGAAGCTATCGCACTGAGAGCCGCCAGTGCTGCCAGTGTTACCTTGGGGATGAAGCTGATCTCCCAGCCATCGAAGGGGAAGGAGAAGGGCTCCCATTGCACCTCAGCAGTTGTCTCCGTGATGGTCTTGAACTTCAGCCCCTGTGGCATGGCAAGGTCTGAAAGGGAGCACCAGCATGGTGAGCAGGGAGGCTGTGGCTTCCCAGCCCCCGCTCCCTGCTCCTGGCCTTGCTGCCCTGGGACTCCCCCACCTCGATGAACCTTTGGGTTTGCTTTTAGGGAATATATCACTAAGGAAGACAACATGGCAGCGACCCGCTCCACAGCACTTGACTATCCCACCTGAACGGAGCTGATGACGGGTTTGCAAGCATTTGAGGTGGCTGGATGCTCTCTCCATGCCCTCCCTTTGTCTTTGTTTCAGAGGACCCTGTTCAGATGTCTCTGCTGGAGCTTCATATTCCCATTTTCCTACCTCATAATGCTTGTCAATATCTCCCCTTTCCAACTGTTGCGGGGAGCCAACTTGTAATGGGGAAGGGAACTAGCCACATCCATAGCATGCCAAAACACAGCATTTTCTGAGAGATTCTTAGTGGCTGTCATTGTACTTACAGGTGGTCACCTTGGCGGTGGCAGGGGCACTGCGGCCGTTGCCAACAATGGCATAGACGCTGAGGTTGTAGGTGACACCGGGCTCCAGWGATCGAATGGTGACTGCTCTCCAGTCACCGGGCACCCGCTGCTCCAGCCGGCTGCCCCCAGGTCCTACGGGCTCATAGGAGACCACGAACTCCGCTGCCGCTGCTGGGCCATCCCACACCAGCTCCACACTGTCTTCGCCCACGCCAGCCACACGCAGGTTTTCCGGTGGTGCCACTGGCAGGGAAGAACGGAGGGGTGAGCAGAAAAGCGTTGAATGCAAGATGGCCACCACCGCAAAGACGCGAAATGGTGGCCACCCGTGGCAGGCCCCTACCTGCAGAGCAGTCGGGTGCTGCGTAGCCATCCTCACAGGCACAGAGCCCCTGGAGGCAGGTGCCGCGGCCACTGCAGGCGTTGGGGCAGTGGGGCCAGCTGCAGTCATCACCAGCAAAGCCCTCGTGGCAGAAGCAGGTGCCGTTGGTACAGTCGCCCCGACCGGAGCAGTCACGGGGGCACCGGGGCTGTCCGCAGTCATCTCCGCCAAAGCCCTCCTCGCAGAGGCAGGCACCATCCACGCAGAGGCCTCGGTCGCTACAGTCGGCAGGGCAGCGGCGCTCAGAGCAGTCATCTCCGCCATAGCCACCATCACAGATGCACTGGCCCTCGACACAGGCGCCGCGGTGCGAGCAGCCCCCAGGGCAGCGGGGCTCYGAGCAGTTGCTGCCCACCCAGCCCTCGTCGCAGACGCAGCCGCACACCGCCAGGCTGAAGTTGCCGTGCCCGCTGCAGGGCGGCAGGAAATCCAGCTGCCCTGGGAGCACGCAGAGCCACCCATCAGAGTCTACTCTCCCTCCCCAGCCAATGCATCCAAAAGCACCACTGGGGAAAGGCTAGGAGAAACCCCATGAGCAGAAGGTGGCTCTTCCCTACCCTGATTCAGCTCTTCACTAGGGAAAAAGCCAACTAAGCCAACTTATCTGCCTCAAGCCACAATTTTCTCAGGTTCCTTTTGAGCCCTCCCTGTCTTCTAATGGTTTCCTTCTGTAGGTGGGAACATACAGCACTTCTCACCCAAGGACCATACCAGCCCCGTAAGGTATCTCCTCCCTCACCTCCACCCCACACCACAGAGCAGCCTGATGAAGGTGGGGTTGAAACCTGAAGCATCCACGTGGCCCAAAGCAATCAATGCCTGTGTTCTGTCTTGCACCTTGGCACTGTGCTTCCTGGAGTGCTGAGGGAGCAGTGGGAAGGAGAGCCTGGCTACTCGCAGTTTGGCATGACCAATGCATCTCTGTTTTGCTTAGAAGCCTGGCACCAACCTAAAGCTTAAGGCTTGTATCAACAWTGATAACTTCCCCCTGCTAATTTTTACTGCCTTTCTTGTTCATCTGCTTAAAGATCCAAAGCCATGCTTTCATCGTGGGCACCTTCTGCAGTGGGATGGGTCCTGTAAGGCACTCTCCAGGTGTGTATGGATCAAACACTCCTGTAAAATAGGTTGGCTATTCATTGGGCCACACCAGCCCTTTTGAGATATGTTGCAGGGTATTTCCCATATTAACTGCAAATCCTGAGAACTGCGATGTGATTTTGTTCAGATCTCAGCCTCTAGTTAAGTTACCAAAAGAGGAAAGTGGATGCTTGTGAGTTTGATGGAATATAGAGGCTTTCCCTGGGGAAATGTTTCAGGCTGCGGGGTAGGGTTCTTGATCTTATTTGCAGTGCAGTGAAATGAAAGCAACTTCAGGAAAATGAATGAAATTATTCCAGATTTACTTCAGTGTGCCTCTGCAATTGGAGGGAAGGCTCCACTGAGTGATAAATGTTTAATGGAACCATCTACATATGTTGCACATAACCTAAATAGGCCCATCACAGCTTCAAATGAGCCTCTGTAAAACATGTTTTCCCCACCGCATTTCCTACTTGATTTTACTTTTTACTTCCAGTTTTACAGTGCAGGAAAGGCATACTTGGGAGTTTTCTATTTTTCTTCTACTTAATGCAACTGATGACCATATTAGGCAGAGATGAGGACTGAGTTCATTACTTGGATTGTATTGACCTCCATCTGCTACACAGATATTACTCTGAACCACCTCTGTGTACGTAGGTTCCTGTTTGTTACCACTCTGACCCTTACTCTAACTCTCCTACCCCTCATACAGTTGACCTGAGTCATGTGTTTATTTTAACATGTCGTTAACAGAGGAGTATGCCTGAAGGCCACTGGAAAATCATACTAATAGCTGCAAAACTTAAAGAAGTGCACAGAGCCCTGSGTAGAAAAGATTTGCTTTTGATTTTTCCTTCACTCTGTTGGTTTGTGCCCGAAGAGCAGTTTCACTGCTGGGCAAAGGGCACTGCATGCCTGGCCTTGCTCAGCTCAAGGAACTTGCTCAACTGTTCCTCCCTGAGAAGAGCCCACAGCTGTTTCATTAGAGCATCCACTCCTACCAAGACGCTGGAAGGAGCTGGGTTGACTGAGAGGACAGATACTCTGTGTGAAACATTGCTCTTACGAAGATCTCTGGGATGTACAGAAAATAATCTGTGTGCTAGCTCCCACACTGTTGAAATTCAGTCTGTAAACCAAACCTTTCATAACCCATCTCATTATAACAGCAGACTATTTCCCTGGCTCTGAAGAGCGACTTTGTAGAAAAGGACTGAACTGTGTCTTTTGAAAGAGTAACTGTAATGGAGGACTCCCAGAAAACTTCGTAAAAGCTTGCCTATTATTATCCAATTGAAGTATCCTGTTGATAGTTGTGTGCCTGCATTATAGGTTTTGTTTATGTCTTTCATGGCAACAGAAGTTATTCCCTGTATTTATTTGTTTTCTTTTTGACTCCGATTTTCCTATCTATTCACTCTTCCTACAGAGAAGATGAAGAAGTTGTTTATTGCTGCCTCCTGCAGTGCTACCTTCAGCTCAGGCAAGCCTTAGGAAATAGAAAATGTCTCTCTCCTCCCTGTCTTGTGAGAAGTTATGGGTCTCTAATCAGAATTGGTAAGAAATAGAGAGGTTAGGGAGATCATCTGCTGTAGCCCGCCAGCATGTGTGCTTGAGTTAGTAAATCCCTCTCCTAGGAGCTTTCCTACCTCAGAGGATCAAAACAAGGCTTCTTTCTAATGAATTTAGGCCTTCCTAATGAAGTGGCCTGAGTGAAGGTGTGGCCATGTCGCCATGGCTGAACATGGATTTTCCTTCCTGGCTACCAGGTGCTATCACTAGCYTGCAATCATTCCTCCTTTCTTTTGCTTGAGCCCTTAGTCCCCACCAAGATCTAACAGGATCATATTACTACCTGTGGCTGCATTTTCTTGGCAGCAATTGGAGTTGCATTGGTCCCGGAGAATGGAGACCTCCCTCTCCAGCATCTCAATTCTGCTCAGCAGATCCTGCATGGACGGGAAAGAGGTGGAGCACTTGCAGGCCTGCTTGGGGAAGTTTATCCTGTGGGTGAAGGTGACCTGGCTCTCGCTGTCTGAGGTCTCTGCATACTCCGCCATCCTGTCGTCTTCTGAACTCACCTCCTCAGTTGAAGACTTGAACACTGAGGAACAGCAGCTGTCCAGGGGAATGTTAATATTGTAGATGTGGTGGAAAACCATGGGCTGCTCTTTGAGGGGTGGACTGCAGTTGGCAACACTGCCTTCCTCATCCATCACTGGCCTCTTGGCTGCCTCTGTTGTCACTTCTAGTCGGCACTCAAAAGGCTTGAGAACGGTGCCTAGCAGTAGCAAGTTGAAGCTTATAAGCACATTCCTCAGGACTGGGTTTTCCTTGTCSGTCCCCATTTTCTTGGTAAAAATCCTTCTAAGCCAGTCTTGGTCAGCCAAGAAGGACCTAGGAACACAGAAGATAAARAGTATATGTGGTGTTAGCCTTGAAACACTGGGGCTACACTCAAATTAGAAAGGGGAGTCATTCGGGTCAAGATGTCCAGAGACATGTTCAGGGCAGACTTGACCCAAGGATGACCTTGCTGTCTTCAGTGTAAGGGAGGAGGCTAAATCAACCCGGAGGTRAGCCCACAGATACCCGGAGAACAGCAGTGTCTTTCTTGACACTGACAGCCTGGCCCTTTGCATGCTAACCCAAGGACCCTCATGTAGTTGTGCAGGAGATAAATTGAAAGATGTCTTGCAGCACATCAGACCAGCTCAGTTCCCCCAGTCCCAGCTGATGGAACAACAGTCCTGCCTCCTCATCAACTAAAATAGTTATTCCTGTGGGCATGGAATCCTTTTGAGTTGCCAATGGGCTTTTAACTGCACTGACATGTGGTCCAACACCTATGGAAGGTACGTGCACAGGCCCTAACTTTTAACTTGCATCTTGTGAGGATTCAGCTTTCAAACAGTGAAGCAGACTGGTGCTTTCTGTTTTTACTTTTTTAAAGGAAAATGGATCATTTGGTAATTAGGTAGCATCAAGTACCTTTTTTTTTTGAGCAGAAACTCCTTGTGAGATCTGCTTTCAGTGCAATGACAGTACAGTGTGTGAGGGTAAGATAGGTTAATGCATGGGTAATGATGACACATCCTCATGCTCTCCTTAGGCTATCTCAGACAGTATTACCATGCCCCAGAAGCTCAGCATTGGGTTGCTAAGCTTCCTTCAGTAGCTATAGGAACAGCAGCTTCAATGTTCAACACCATTAAATTATACCATGCACTCTTAAGCTTGTTTAGGTTTATGCTCTGAGCAGACAAATCTCTTTTGCTAAAATAGTTTCACCTCCTGCGTGCACTCTGGATTATGGGTTAAAGTTGTCCTGAATTGGAACAAAACAACTTTTCATTTTGTTATCGATTCAGAGCCTCCAGGTGGTAATCCAGACTCCAAGGGCCACATTTATCTCCAGTCTAAAATCACTGGTGTCAGTACAGTTCAACTAGAGATGGATTTGGCCCCATTACTCTTATTGGGACTATTGTGTGCTGACCAATAGTTAACACCAACCATCTTGCTATGAAGAATTTCCACCTTATTTATCAGAGAGGATAAAGCGGATAGACGGGCGAGGATGTATCTGTGAGCCAGAGGACTTTCATTATTTCCAGCACCGGAGAGACAGAAAGAGATTGAATGGCTTGCCTGCTGCTTACCAGGCAGCTCCCAATCAGTTTCCCTTGAATTTACTTTGCATTGGATGGTTAAGTTGTGGYTGAAGTGGAATTGCTGGGGCACGACTGCTCAGAGGTTAGGCAACAGATGCAGAGGCCAGGGCTGCTGCCCATGCTTATAGCTGAGTGCTAGCGTTGCTTCAGGATAGGGAGAGATAATTATATAATTCTGGCTAGTCAATGGAAATGCATGATTGGATTTTCTCCTGCATGTTATTAGRGAATGTAAATTATGGTGTTTGTGGCTCTCTACCTGCTCTGAGTTTGTAAGACTTGAATTAATGAATGCTGGAGCGTGCTTTGCGGTTCTTTGTTAGCCAACACAATAGAAATGCAAAGCACCTATGTATTTTTAGCACTTCTTCTTCTGCAAGAGCAGCCAGAGTCATTGGAATTATGGGCAATCATTTGGAGGTCAGTGCTTCCCAGTGCTGTGGGCAATCAGAGTTTTACAGCACCATTTTCACCAGAGTGACTCAGGTGCCTTGTTAGCCCTGAGAGAGGACCAGATCTTGACATGGGCTTCTCCAGACTGTGCTGTTCTGCCTCCCCAACACCACCAAAGCAAAAGAARCATTAGACACACTATATATGTATTACATTACACATTTCAAACACATTAGACACATTACATATACTTTACAGTAACAATAAGAAGATGAAAAAGAATCAGAGAACTGAAGATCTGCCAAGCGCATCACCCCAGACTTTACCCAGGCTCCTCAAAGGTGTGTTTTAGGCATATGTAACCAAAGATAGGATAACCTTCAAGGAAAACCTTGAACCAGTTTCTGTTGAGCTGACCCAAAAGGATGGGGATTTCCTTGAAGGACCAGCATTGTGTGTGGGCCAAGAGGTAAAAATTGCCACCTTAGCCAGTTACAGCTGTCTTCTTCTGGGACAGTTGGTTGCAGATTCTCAAGGAGTTACGGGAACCAGCGTTTCCCTCTCCCTATCAGAGTGTCCATGCTGTGAATATCAATTTCCCACTGATTCTGCATTTAAGGGTGAAAAAGGTACAGCACGTTTTTAAACTGCAATTCACTTGCTTATTCACACTCTGGGCTGCTCTCAAATTCTGACTTTGTTTGGACYTGCCAGTGCCATAATCTGGGAAAATCGACCCCTATTTCTAATTACTCCCACTGCACTGTACCTTCACTCTGCTTTCCTGGGGAGTACATCCCCACCCATCTTTTCCCCACAGCTAAATAAAAATATCTGTTTACTGGTTTCTCTCTTACAATACTGGTACTCCAGAAAATATAGCTATTCAGCCACCTATCAGCATTTATACGGTTATTATCCCACATTACTGCAATGTTTCTACTGCACTTTTCTTCCTGGCGCTATGCTTAATGCCTGCTTCTTTTGAGCAGGCACCTGGGGCTCCTTTAGTAGGCTCTCTTTTTTTTTTTTTTTTTTCTCCACTTTTTTTTTTTCAGAGGAAAACAAGAAAAAATGGAAATACTTCCAAAATGGAGTGATGTGCTCCTTTCCCTGCACTCCCTGCAGGAGCTCTGGTTGTATTCACAGAGGAAGGAAAGGAGGAGGATGCCCAGAGAGGAAAATGAGRGACAGCGCTGACAGTAGGATGCACTCTCCTTAGGTGACCCTGGGGTTAACTGGCCTTAGCTGCAAGCAACTAAAYACTGATGTGCGCCAAGTATTGATATAAAGCCAAGCCTCCTCCATCTGATTAATGGTGTATGCATAAAGGAAAATAGCATGGTTTACTTGTTGTGGTCTCAAGCTTATCCTCTGTAGGGTCTTACTGAAATCAGAGGTGAAATAAAAAGCAGCACCAAGAGGAAGCAGGTGCCTGGTAGGATAGTAACCCAGCCCCTCTCCTGTTTCCAACACTTGTTTGAGGACAAACTGTATAATCCTACTGATCTCTCCCATGGAGAGATCAGCCTGCGGAGTATGTCCTCATTGGTTTGGGGGTTCCCTCCAGCAACCCCCACAGGTTATGGTGGTGCMTTGCAGGATAAATCACCATTGCTGACTTGATAGCAGTGCTGCAGTGATGGTTTGCAGAGGGGGGTGCATTCAAAGATCCCCCCGCAAAAGTCTCATCTGTCTTCTGGGGTCTCCAGCAGCTCTTCCATGGCTACATTTGACCTGGAAAGAAACTTCTTGTCCCTGCACTCCCCCTTGCCCCTTCTCCCCCTCACCCCCACCTGCATTACAACTGCTAGGAATTACCTGGGGACTAATTAGCTCTTGCTGCCTTTGATTGACTGATATCCATTAGAGGCTAACTGCAGCTCTTTGGCCTCTCTCCCTGCCTTTCAGCATTAGGAGGGAAGTAATTGTGGCTTTAAGCCAGCAGTGCAGAGCCAGGCTGGTGCTTCAAAGCAAGCAAGGATTACAGCAGCAGCTTAGATGTGAAAATACAACCCCTCCCATCCCACTCCTCTCTTTGGAGCAAAGCTCGATTCTGGCTCTGCAGAAGTGCAAGAGCCTGTTTACAAGCACAGCYAGAGCTTCCTGGCTGAGGAAACGAGGGGAAAGGAATCCAGGCAGATGAAAGGCTGATAYAGAAAGGGGAAGACTAACCGCACAACGGACAAGAGGTGAGTAAGTAGATAAAGTAGAGAGAGCAGATGCCTGACAGAGCTTTCTTACTAATGACTGTAAGCAGGTGGGATAGTTAGCAGCTAACTGCCTGATGGGGGAAAAAAGACATTTATTTGATGGGAGAATCCACCAGACCCACTGATCTGAACCTCATTATAAAAATGTTCATTGCAGCAGCCACCAGCAGACCACAGGATGCTAAGGGAGATTCACCAGTGGCCCCGAGGAGGAGAGCAGCCTGGTTGCCGCTGMTGATTGCTTGGAGCCACCATCTGGGACCGAGTACTGGAGCTCCCCACCAGCCCCATTGCTTGCAAGCAAAGGGGCCAGTGCCAGCTGATTGCATTCTACATGGTAGATTTCAGAGGAAATGTGATTCCCAGACATTTCCTGTGTTTTTTATTAATATAAAAGGGGTTATGGAAGGAAAAAAAAATAAAGACAAACATGTCTTCCTCTGCTGATTTGGATGCTTTCTCTGACTTAATGTTCCCAGTGCTTCTCAAGGAATGGGTGTATCCTGCTGATGTGGACCTTACTATGGCAGTAGAGAGGTCTGCACAAAAAATTCGGAGCTTTCCTCCCCTTTCGTGGCAGTGAACAACCTCCGTGAAGCTTGCTGCAGTTCTGGAAAAGTGCARGGGACAGGAAATTCCTTGCAGGAAAGTTCTGGCTGAGAAATTAAGTGGTAGTGGAAATCATCGAATAAAGACACAGCATACTAAAGCAAAGCTCTGTGCTAGGTATTAGGGAGAGGGGAACCAGGAGGTGAACTACAGCTATAGCTGGGACTGTCCTCTATAGCTGAAGTACCTGGGTGCTGCTCAATGGGCAGGAGCAAGTCCRGTTTTGGGCAGAGGGAAAGATCGTGCCTGTCTTTCAGCACAGGCTTGAGCAACCCAGGGATGCAGCTTAGTTTTGTATAATTCSCGTTGGATGGTTTGGGCTGTAAATCCCTGTTAATCGCTGACTTCTTTGCAGCGTCTAGGTGAGAGGGAGGCTTAGGCTGGTGGCTCCACAACCAGCCAGATTTTCTATCTGGTCCCATGTGGGGCAAGGCTCTTCCTCTTGCACTCCTGGTGTGCRTGATTTGGTTTTTCCTCGGGGACTCTGA